TCATTGATTAATCTCAAGACTTTCATTTATTGGGATAAAATTAAGTTAATCAAGAATAAGTGAGAGAGAATCTTTGAATTGATTAATAAGATATAAATCTTAATTCCACTTCCTATCTCATGTGTGTGTATTCAGTTCATTTAATATTATTAAAAGAAACTGAAAGTTCCCTGAAGACCTGAAACAAGAATGAAATCTGAACTTGGAATTGGAAAGAATCAAAGAAAGAATCTCATTCATCTGATACTTGACATCGTATTTCATGTAACCTTATGAGAAGAGAAAAAATATCAAGAAATTATCGAAATGCAAATTGTTCTAATTTGAAGTATAGAATTTGATTTGGAACTTTTTCTTCACCATGTTCCATATAAGTTAATATTCAAATGTAGAAATTTACAGAATTTTCTTCATCTTCCACCATGAACATGATAGAATGTGAAAAGCTGGCAACGAATTGAGTATATGAGAGATAAAGTAACGGTAAATAAGAAACAAAAATATTAAGATAATATTAAATATCTTTACAAGGGATACAAATAAAGGCCTCCGGGCATTTGAATTATACTTTGATTATTTTTACTTTTCATTATTATTCAAGTTGATTATATGTGAATATTTATATAATTTCCTCATGATTAGATAACCCTGAACAATATGATGTTTATTCAGCATTTTATATCATGAAACTGAGAAAATTAATTCAATTCTTAAGTTTGAATTTAATATTTTTTTCTGTTCATGATAAAACCCCTGAAACCAAAGTGACACCTTTGAATAATTGATAATAATGTGTTGAACAATCAAACTTAATCATGTTCATCTCATGTGTAATCATTATCATGCTAATTGTCAATGGAAATATGATGAAAATAATTGACTTGATTGTAATATTTTTATTGTGATATTGAATTGATTATTCAGTAAACCATAATAAGATTAACTTTTAATTAAGTTGATTATTATTAGTGATACAAATTTTTTTGTGTGATATTATGTTATCAAAATGAGAGTTTGATAATGTATGAAAAAAAAACAGATTAACTAGTTTAATGTGTTGATTATCATTAATGTTGTTACTTTAATTACAATTTAATCAATCTTAATTAGCTTTTATCTTTGATCAGGATGATGATTTGTTGCTCATGATGATTGTCATGATGATCACTCGATAAGACTATTCTTTATTGTTAAATGTTTCTGGACTCAGAGAAAATAACAGTAACATTGGATTCATAGTCAATTGTAAATTAAGTTGATCACAATCAATTCCCAGGGTAGATAATGAAGTTAACAGAGAGTGAGAGTGAGAGTGAGAGAGGATAAAAAGTGAACATGGATTTTATATATTGAGTGAGAAAAAGAGTAACATCTTATATGGAAGTTGGAATAGGAGGTGATGGAGAGTAGTGAATGAGTAGTAACACTTAAAGATTGAGATGAACTGGGAATGACAACAGAGGATGAAGATGAAGATGAAGATGTGAAGAGACAGAGTGAGGTGGAGGACAATGTATTCAATGGATAACTTAGTCTCATCCTATCACTTTCATCATTGTCATCATGATGAGGAGACACTTCACTTGATAATCTAAATGATTAGATACAAGAAAAGAGAGAGAGAGAGTTGAAGGTAAAAAGAAAAAACTAATTAATCTGAAATTAGAATAAAAAATGTTCCTTTCGAATTGAATTCATCATGAAGATATCCAACTTTTATCATGAGAAGGGACCAAATGATTTACAAATCTAATAGGGAAAAGAAAATGCTGAACATACAGAATTATTATCGAAATGATAGATATAACTTTTTCCCTCTATTCTGAACATTATCTCTGACCTAAGCTCTGAATTTAACACTGAACTAGTGTGTAAATATTATCTTACCAAATATTTATCATGATGATGAAATGATAAGATGATGCGTATGAATACTGAATAGAATCACCATGAAAATTCAAGAAGCCTTCAGATTAAGGATCGGCTTAAATGTGATCCAAGATATTTAATCACTCGGATAATCTTTTCAAGTTTAACAATTAAGATTTTGGTAAAAACTGATTGTTCAATATTTAAACGTTGGAGATGAAATTCTGAGGAACCAAATTGTGAGCCATCAAATTTAATTACAATTTCAAAAGTTTTTCAGCTTTTTTTTTATTAGAATTACAAAATAATGAATGATGAAAATCATTGAAATCGATTGGCAATATTTTCGAGATGTAACCTTCGAGTTGGGGATAAAATAAATTGAGATGAAATGTCAATCATAACTGAACAAAGTTCTGGTGGTTAGGAAGATGAATTTCATTTGTACAATGAAAATAAAGATGAAAATATGTATTAGTTAATTAGATAAATTACCAATCAAGTAAATTAGGAAAAGGAGTGTCAATGTCTTACCCATCTTCATCCTCATCTTAAAGTTATAAATTGAATTTTCTCATCAACATGGAGATACCTTTTCAATGTAATTATCTCCCTGGAATGATGAAGTATTATCATGAAGAATTTTTCTTCGTTTACTTTTTCTCATCTTAACTCGTTTTTTTGTGCTCATCTCTTCCCTCTTGAAAGGATTGTCATTCATCTGATAGATTATCATCATCATGAAAGAAGAGAAATTATAAATTAATAGAATGTTGAAGATGATGGAGATAAGAAAAGGGTGGAGAAAATTCTGGTAAGATGAAGGTAAAAGAAAATAAAAGTTATGTTGTTGCTGTTTTTTTCTCTCTTGTGACAAACTCTTATTTTTTATTCTCTTTTAACTTTATCTTCATCATCTCTCATTTATCTTTCTTTCTGTTACCTTCATCATCACTTTATCATCTTCCTGTAAAACTTATTAACTGTTTGCTAGCAAGAGAGAGAGAGAGAGAGAGATATTTATCTTCATTTTAAACTCTCTCTCTCTTTCTCTCTCTCTCTCTGAAAGAGGAAAAAGAAACAGAATGAATGAAGTTTTCCAAGATTGTTCAAGATTATTGAGCAGATAATTATTAGTAGATGTAGAATATGAAGATTATCATGATGATGCTGTGAAATGTCATGAATTTAAGTTGAATGAAAAATGGCGAGAAGAAAATTATTGTTTACTCATTAACATGATGGAAATCAGCTCAGAATTCATATGCTCTTTGAGAAGAAGAATGGAACTTTTTTTCATCGAATAAGCAGAAAAAAATGTTTAACCATTCCATGCATTCATCATAACACAATATCTTTCATGGTGATTGAGCATTCAGATAACTAATAACAGTATTAACCATGTGTAATTTACCACAATCACCTCCTCCTCTTTCCACCACCACTATCATCATCATCATTTACCCTTTAACCTTCCTCTCTCTCTCACACACACATACATTATACCAGCTCTCCTACATAAATGTTTCATTCTCATCTTCAATATCAACCCCTGAATGTCTGAATGATGATCACGATAATGATAATAACAAGACCCACAAAAAACTCAATCATATCTTATTACACTTAAATCCATCAATCATTTACCCATAAAAAAATTATTTCATGATGAAGATGAAGATGATGATTAGAATAGTTTTACTCTTAATAGTTTCTCATCTTTATCCCACCACCAACTCTTCAGGTTCTTAATTTTGCTCACAAGTAAAAGCGTCATTAATATCACTCCTTCATCATCAGCATCATCTCTCTCTCTCTCTTTCTCTTTCTCTCTCTCTCTGACTTCTGAGTGGAGAGATGAAAAAAGATGAGAAAAAACCTCCACGGATTTACATGATCTTCTATCTCAATCATCTATCATCTTCTCATCATCATCATCACAAAGTCACACATGATTATCATTATCCCGATTATCACCATCATCATTATTGGTAATATAATATTTATACACAAATAAAAAGTGATAAGCAAAAACTGCTCCCTAAATATAAAAGTTGACTGTAACTCAGTTTAATCATGATAATCACCTTGATATTTACACGAGTATTTATCTGGTTCCATATTATTATCATGAGTAAACATTGTTATCTATTAGTTATTACATTGAAATACAGAATCAATTGATTTTTCCCCTTCATATTCATGTATTAAGATACAAATATGGAAACAATAAACAATAAAAGATTCAGATAACGATAATAACAGATTAATCAGATTGGAACATATTTTATTTATTATTCTACTGATTATCATGAATTTCATGGATATTATCCTGAAATATAATTACGATAGATTAGCACATTAATAGTGAATTTCATTGTTTCATTGATACATTTGGGATAACATTTTGATATCAACATGATAACCAATTGATTGCTATTTTTGTATTCATTTTCTGAGTGGGATGAACTTATCATGTGTCGATGATGAATTTTTCTTATGAATTTCTTGTGAAAAAAAATTCTATTCAAAGATCGTCAAGGATTAACTTGAGTTTAGATTACTTTTGCTACTTGACATTTCAAATGCTCTCTGACAATATGATTAACTATTCAAATCTACAGTTTGATTGAATTGAATGACTGATTACAATTATCTGTAAATCAAATGTTGTATTTGTTTCATTTGATTTGATAAATCGCAATACCTTAAATTGTCAACAATCAACTTTTAAGATTAACGTAAATTACAATAAGATTAGATAATCTTCATCTTCACTATTATATTCAATCTGTTGATCTTTCAATTGAAACTTTTCAAATAATCTCATGTATTTCTGAATATCAAGTTACTATTTATTATCGGATAGAAATAATTTATCTCTTGACTGAATGAAATATTAATCAAAACAGATCAAGATGATAATATAAATATTAATAGTATTCATCATGAATGAATTTTAAATTGATGATTGATAATGTGACCATGATTTATTCATCGATAAATATATTCATCAAGTGAATTGAAGGATAAGAATTTTGGTTGAACTTTTTTTTTCTGAAATTCGAAACAGAAAATTTCCAAACTTTTTCTCATGTTCGGTAATGATTTTTGCCATCTTTTCATTTCAGATGATTCCAATATTCTTACCAATAACGTTGGAAACAATTCTAATAACAGTAACTGTGATTTAATCAAGTGTGATAATGGTACAATCTGTGTTCAAGAATCCCCTGAATCCCCTGGATCCTGTTCATGTCCAACATGTTCACATCACTACGAACCCGTTTGTGCCTCTGATGGTTTATTTTATACAAATGAATGTGTCCTCAGAAGGGAATCTTGTAAAGAGGGTATTCAATTGAAGATTGTCCATTCAAAGGAATGTGGTGAGTTCGAAATGTTCATTTCGATTCGATGGACAGAAAAAAAAACGTTCTAAAAGTTCAGTTTTTCTCAGAATTTTGATATTTTCTTTTCTTACTTTCGTCTCCATTTTCAGGAGGTTGTGATAATGTCCATTGTCAATTTTATTCAAACTGTGATATCAATGAAACTGGTCAAGTATTATGCCAATGTCCAGTTAATTGTACTCAGGTAAACTTGATTACTTTTAATTATGCTCATAAATTGATAATTATTATTACCATTAACCTAATAATATCTTATGTTAACAATAACAATCATCAATTATTGACGTTCAACTTACAATTAATTAAATACATTCATTTATAATATTAAATTATAATAATAATTAATTGTAATGGTTATTCATGGTAATAGTAATTAGAGAAAAAAATTAAACTCTAATTAAATGTGAACAATTAATGATAATAGTAAAGTTAACACAATTATCCATTGAATTGATCTAATACACTTTTTTTCTGGGAAACTCTGTTTTCCATAAATACTTTGTACTGGTGATCAGATACTTACAGGGTAGCCAATAATGATCTTTAAACAATTAACCATAAACTGAATCAATCTAAATGTTAATTTGTTGGTAAGATTTGATTCACTTTAATTGTGTTGACTTTATTATTACCTTTCAATGATTTTACCTTGAAAAATGAACATCAACCAACCAGAACTTTTGAAATTGAAATGAGATTTTTTTATCTTCTTCATTTATCATCATGATGGTCATTGATTATTTGGAACTGATAAAAGGATGATGATCCTGTTTGTGGTAGCGATGGAAACAATTATTCAAATGAATGCTCATTACGGTTAACCTCTTGTCAGAAACGTCAATACCTTACGGTCACCTCGAAGGGTCACTGTGACCTTTGCTCAAATGTCCATTGTAAATATGGTGCCCACTGTGAGATCGGTTTCTGTGTTTGTCCAAAAGATTGTCCATCTTTCTATGAGCCTGTTTGCTCAACGGATGGTTACACTTATACCAATGAATGTCAAATGAGGTTAACTGCCTGTCAACGAAAGGTTGACCTTAGTGTTAATTTTTTCGGTGAATGTCAAGATTCCCAGATGAGTGAGTAAACTGTTACACAGAAAAACAAAACAAACAACTTGACCAATACAAAAAAAAAGTAAAATAATACTAAAAGAAAATCTAATCAACAATCAATAAATCACTTTCTATATCTAATCTAATTGTCTTATATTTTCAAGGGAAAAGAGCATGAATTAAATATCTAATAAGAAATCTAAATATGTATAATCTTTTACTTTTACTTCAATATAATCAATCTTATCATTTCTCCTTCTCTGTTTGCTTGACCATTGGCCATCTCTATCCTCTCTCTCCCTTACCTGTTGTCCACTCAGTTTGAATGATATTATTTTCCATCATCATTTGCTTTTCGAGATGAAAAACTGTTAATCCAAATTGATGGAAATGTTAATCCTTATTACTAATTAGATTTATCCTTTTTCTTATCCCTTTGGTTGGTTACATTTCTATCGGGATTTTTTAGTTATGAATTTCGGATCGACATCATTTGGTTATATTGATACTTGTGATCAGAATACCTGTAGATTTGGTGGTGTTTGTGATTACGATGCAACCGGAATACCTCATTGTATTTGTTCATATTCGTGTCCAATGAAGGATGAAAATCGTGAAAATTATGTCTGTGGTTCTGATGGAAGACTTTATGAGAATGAATGTAAACTCCAAGAGGAAGCTTGTCGTCGACAACAAGAGATTGGAATTGAATCGAGAGACAAATGTTATGGTCAAAGTATATTGACGATGTGCGATGGATCATCTCCCCTGGTTAATCCATCAACGGGCTTAGATTATTATTGTGGTGATGAATCGGGTTCCAAATCTTGTCCCGTTTTCAGTTACTGCCAACGAGATGGTTCCTATGCAAAGTGTTGCCAAGACGTTGCCTTTAAGGTTCATTGTAACACCACGACTTATGGTTGTTGTGCCGATGGACTAACACCCGCTTTAGGCCTGAATCAGGCCGGTTGTCCGGAAATTTGTAACTGTAATAAACTGGGTTCCAATTCATTAACCTGTGATCCGAATTCCAATCAATGCCAATGTAAAACGGGTGTAGGTAAGTAAGATTATCAGAAGCAGAGAAATTAATATAACAATTGTAACAATTTGTATTTCTTTTATTCAAATTCACAGGGGGAATTCAGTGTGACCGATGTAAACCAGGATTCTGGGGACTTCATAAAATATCTGAGGGAAACAATGGATGCATACGTAAGTATCACTATCAGAATTTGAATGAATAACTGATTAAGATTAATCAGTTGACTAAAGTAACAATGTTTTCTTTTTCTTGTCAATTGATGGATTATCATCAATTGTTGTCACCAACTTATCATCATCTGCGATTATTATCATGAACTTTATATTTTTATCTGTTTCTATCTTTGGTTAGAAGTGAATAAAATTTTTCATCTGTAACATGAAAAAAAGTTGAATATATTCCCATGGCGATACTATCATGAAATTGCTTGTTCATTTTTTTTTGTTATCTATTCTTATCGTTTATCTATTTACTGATATTTTGTTTCTAAATTTGAATTTTGCTGCTGTTTTGAGCTTTGAATTTGTCAATTGGTCGATATTGAAGTTTAAAGTTCATTTTCATCTATATACTCACCATGAAAACTGAAACTGAATCACGATGATTATGATGATAAAGATAAAGATGAAGATAAAAGTCAATTTCATCCATTTTGATTGGAAAACTTTTTTTTGTCTTTTTCATCTTAACAACATCAGTTTTTTGTACTTTTCTGTTTAGCCTCAAGCGAAACTGATTCAACTTCACAGGCAATTGATAGAGAGTCGGTTGATTACATTGATGTTGAAAATTTTCACTATTTTGATGACACAATTTGATTCACCTTTTTGTCTCACTTCCGAGTTTGATACACACTCTTGTTGTTGTGACACTTTTAAAATATTCCCATTGCCTGAAGATGATACATAATTTGTCGAGTCAACTTGATTTGTAATCTCTCTCTCTCTCTCTCTCTCTCTCTCTCTCTCTCTCTCTCTCTCTCTCTCTCTCTCTCTCTATTTTATCATCTTCTCATCCTCAGCCTGTTCATGTAACAAGAGTGGGTCAGTTCGAGGTGATTGTGAACAGATGACCGGTCGATGTGTATGTAAACAAGGTTTACAGGGTATCAAGTGTGACATTTGTCCAGAAGACGCTGTCCTTTTAGGTCAAGGTTGTACCCATGGTAAGAAGTCAATTAAGATGAAAAATATTGACCACAAACGAGTATTAATATACAAAACTATCATATATCATTTGTATTCCTTTTTTTTCTGACCAGTTAACTTGACCAAACTGTTTACTGAATCTTGTGAGACAATCACCTGTTCCTATGGGTCAATATGTGAACCAATTAATGAAAGTAAAGGGTCTCGATGTGTTTGTACTAATGTTACCTGTTCACCTGAGGAAAAAAGTTCTGGTAAAATTTGCTCAACCGATGGAACCATTTTCCCAAATGAATGTCAACTCAAATTGTATTCATGTCAAATGCAAAAAACACTGACCATTGCTCATAAAGGACCTTGCAAAGGGTCAACTCTCATTGATGGAAATGTAAACACCAATAATCATGTTACAATTGATGAAACAATTACACAGGGACCATTGAGACGATCAACAGTTTTCAAAGTATCATTGATTGTCCCAACTACTACAATTGGTGATACCTTTAAATCAATTCGTCAAACAATTAACCTAAACAATTTAACATCATCTTCATCAGAATTACTCGCCGGTGGTAAATCTTTTACCTCTTCAACTCCCATTCCAATCAATTTAAACTCAGCCAATTCAATCATCTTGATTCCTGGATTTTGGGTAACTCGTTTATTGAATTACCAAGACTTCAAGCTTACACCCGATTATCAATTGAAATGGATTTCATAACTTATACTGATTCAGCTATACTACTTTATAATGGTCAAACTGTTTCAGGGGAAGGAGATTTTATCTCACTGACCATTCGTAAAGGTAACATAGAAAATTTCATCTTCATATTAATCATTTCAAGTTCAATCCGGAAGAAGAAAAAATTTCTGAATGAACTTATATATATAGTGAGACGAACCTTTTTTTCACCAGAGATTCAGTTGTTGATTAACACATTCAACTGAAAAAAATGATTACCATGTAACAATAATCATGATGATTAATATTATCAGACTAAACTAATATTAGGTTTACTTTTAATCTTTTGATTAACTTTAAATTGTTAGACTTTTTTCTTGTCTCAACAATTTTATTATTAATACTTAGTATGTATCGTAACATTTTCATCATCAGAATCAATATTATCCAATGTTATCAAACATTTTCCTCAGTGTGTATGAGTTAAGGTATTTAAGTTTGTGAGTAGTTTTTTTTCAAAGTCTATGGACTTTAACATGAGAAAAAAATTTCTCATTCAAAAAAAGGTATTATCATGAAGAAAAAGCTTAATCAGGATTAATGAACCACGATTATGTTAATACACATGATGATGTATTGTTATGGTGATGATGATACTGATGAGAATGCTGATAATACTAGATGGATAACATGGTTGATTATGTTGATGAAATTAAATTGTTCTGGTTGTTTACTGAGCTTCTTTATGTGTACATTATATTTCAATTGAACAAAGTGAAAGTTTTAACGTTGATTTTTTCCTATTATTCATTGTATTCATTTTCCATGAAAATTAAGGTTACATTGAGTTTCGATATGATCTTGGTTCTGGTATGGTTATTATAAGATCAAAGGAGACAATTTCTATTGGATCTGTTGTCCATTTAGTAGCGAAACGTTTCATGAAAGATGGTATATTGTCCATTGATGGTCAGTCTGATGTTACCGGGTCATCTCCGGGTTCCCTGAGTTCACTTGATTTAGCGGAAAACCTTTACCTTGGTTGGATAAAAACAAATCGAACCAATATTTACAATAATATCGGCCTTAAAACGGGACTAATTGGTTGCCTTTATAGTTTCTCGATAGATAAAACTGTAAATTTACCCAATATCTTAGAGAAATCATCTTCGTCTTCATCTTCATCTAATTCAATAATACGAACTGTTAACATAATCGATTGCCTTGAAATGCCTTGTTCAGGATCAACCATCCAAAGATACACCAAAGATACAACCTCACCACCCACAACAACAACAACTACTACTACTTATCCATCATCCTCATCCTCATTAGCTAATTATTATCCCTGTCATAATGGTGGTACCTGTTTACCTTTAATATCACCAATCGATGGCTCTCTGTCAAGCTCATGTAAATGTAAACCTGGTTACACAGGGAATCATTGTCAATTGGTGAGTGGTGACAATTTTTGCTCAAAAGAAAACAATCCTTGTATCAAGGATACAATTTGTGCCTCATTACCTGAGAATCAGGGTTACTCATGTTTCTGTACCTCTGATGATAATAGTCTCAACCTTTGTCTCAATGGTAAGTTGTAAAAGATTAACACAACCCTTGGAATTAATTGTAATTGTTAATTGTTTATCTTGATTATCTTTCTCTCTTCCCAAAGCTCAACGAAAAACTGAAAATGCATTTATACCTGATTTTAGTTCAACCTCTTACTTGACCTTACCCACACTGACCAATATCGCTCAAACTTTTATCATTGAAATTTGGTTCTACTCCAGAGATCCTGATGGACTATTGTTTTACAATGGACAACAATCAATCAATTCTAGAGGTGATTTCATCTCATTGAATTTAGTTAATCGTTTTGTTCAATTTTCCTACAATTTAGGTTCAATTAATCCTCATGAAAGGTAAATCATTTTCTCATCAACTTATAGCAATTAAGCTGTGCGATTAGTGAAAGAAACAAAAATTATCAAACATAATCAGTGAGATCAATACTAATTGTTAATGGTATTTAATGATAGCACTAATTGTTAGTTAATTAATACCAAATTATCATCACAAAAAACATTCATTAACTAATAATTACCATTGATTTAGTTGATTCTGATTCTGATTCTCTGATATAATTATATTTTATTTTTACAAAGATGATTTGAGTTGTAAATGTTTTCGTTAATCGTTGATCAACTAATCAATTAACATGATTTAGGAATGAATTTAGTTATCATTTAAATTGTGATTTTATTCTTAATTGATTGGGGATACTAATTAATTCTCTCTAATTGTTTTTTTTTGTTTCTCTTTCAACTGATTCTTTTTTTTCCAGTGGATTGGTAACATTGAAGTAAGTCGATCAATCAACAAATATGAATAACAATTAAATATTGAATTTAGTATAGTTGATTGTTAATTTCTATCAAATTTTTCATCGTTTAATTAGAAGTGATGATAAAATATCAATTGGTAAATGGCATTCAATTAGGATAACTCGAAATCGTAAACAAGGAAGTCTTCAATTGGATTCACTTGCAATGGTTTATGGAGAGGCGAAGGTCAGTTTATAATGAAAGTGTATTAATCATGTTAGTTAATTGTCTCAAGATAAAGATTTGACCATCTAATTGTGACAATCAGAGATACTTATCAAGATTAAGAGTGAGTTACCTTTGGTTAGTCCGAGAAAAAAAGGTGATGATAATGGTGAAAAGGGATTAATATGATTAAATCTCTGAAACTCTCAATCCAGTTAATGATGGAAAAGTTATTTAGTTAATTGTGAGAAAGGGAATCAAGAATCTGGTTAACAACAATAATCCATTTGTATTAAAGTTGATCAACTTTCCAAGTCACGAAAAAAAAGTAGAAAGTTAATTTAGTTGATTTATTAAATGATCGCGAATAAGTTTTCATTAAATATTTGGTAAAAAAAGATTGTCAAAAATTGAGATAAATTAAATTGCTACAATTAAATGATTATATGGATCAATATTCTGATTGATTATTATTTTTCACCCTTTCATTTAAAAGACTAATTTAAGTGAGCTTAACTTGGATCAACCATTTTATATTGGATCGATTCCTCCAATCAATTCATTAACTACTCACCGAGAATTAAATTTAACCAAAGGATTTAACGGAGCAATTCAGAGGATTGTGGTCAATGGTGATGTTTGGGATGATTTGCTTGACCGATCAATTGAGATTTACAATATTGCCAAATACTCTGGACCACCATGTGAATCACCTAATCCTTGTTCATCATCTTCATCTTCATCATCATCAAATTCAATTTGTGTCCCACAATTTAATGATTATTTCTGTAAATGTAATCACTTTGGCGATTATAATGAAAACTCATGTGATTCCAATGAAAAATGACAGAAAAAAAAGAAAAATTTTATCACGAATAAAATTAAAATACTAATAATAAAACATTTACTTGTCCAACAATTAATTTAATTAATTTCTTTCTTGGTTAAAACAATTAAGGAAAAAAGTATCAAGAAAAATTTTTCTATTTATTTAATAATCTAAGTTCAGTTTTAGCTTCAATTTTATTACTTAAAATTTTATCACCAATTAATAATAATTGATTTCTTTTTGTCTTAACAATTTAATTTTAAACGACAATTAACAATTTTAAGTTAATTGTTTTGAAATCGAATTTTGCAAATGTGGTGCCATCTGTTTTTCTTTTTTAATACTGAATATTATTATCGATCTTTGAATCGATTGAATCGATTTTTCTATTCGTTTATTTTTCATGAAGGACATTTGATTAACTGTGTTGTTGTTTTTACTCTATTTTTCCAGTGATTTAATTACAATTAATTAACTAATATGGAAGAAAAATTTGACAATATGAAGGAACATTCCTTCAAAAAGGAGGAATACCATATTGGACCATTTGGTCGAGTCCGAAGTGACTATCTTAGTTCTCCTGTTCAATCGCTATCCAATTTTGCTTTTAACCTTTTTGATGTCCCAGCAACTTGGATACATGGTGAGAATCTATTCATAAATCCAACTGTGATTTAGCTAATTAATAATATAATTTTTTTAATAGATAAAATTGTCGTGCCAAATAGAAAGCAAAGTGTCTACTATCATTATAAATTTCCCCGAGTTCCAACAGTTGATGAGTGTTATGTTGATGATTACGCTTGTCTCTGGGAAGCAGATCAACAATACAAGAGAGACAGGTAACCATTTTCATCTTTCTCTTAGATACTTAACTTATTTACCTTCTCCTTTTCATTCTCAGGAAAGTGGAAAAAAATATAATCAAAATTTTAGTTAAAGGGTGTAGCACTTAACACGTTAAAAAATGGGAGGTGCTAATGTAGCTTAATTTTTACATTTTTGTCAACCTTATCTTCATTTTTAGTTAAGACTAAGGTACATTAGCACCTCCCATTTTTTAACTTGTTAAGTGCTACACCCTTCAGAAGATTTGATGAGTGTATGGCCACTTATGGTGGTGTCGATTCCACTGCCAGAGCTTGGTGTGAACACCTTTTGGAAGACCGGGACAAAGCAGAAACAAATTATATGATAAAATGTTAGTTACTTTTTTATTCTCACCAGAATTAATATATAATCTAATTTATCTTTGTTTTTCTTTTTTAGATGGTGAACTCCGTATGGATGGAACAGCAGCTTTGAATCTCATGGAGAATAGAACAAGATCAGCTGATGTTTACCTCAAACAAAAACATCGATATGTTTGGGAAAGGAAACAACAATTGAAAAAGGAAAAGGAAGAAAATGAAGCAAAAGAATCAAAAGAATCAAAAGAATCAGTTTGAGGAGAAAAAATTAAACATTATAAATACTATTAGGTAAAGTGATAATTTGTTAGAATTGCAATAGATGTTGGACTGTTTTGATCAACAATTGATTATGTAAATTATGATTAATTCGTGTGATTAACAACAACTTACGGCTGAAAATTTTAAAATAAAACAACCATTCGTAATGAACCCGAACGATTTTGTTGTGAAAAAGATTGATCGAAACCAATTGGTCCTCCTTCGACTTCTCTCACCATATGATCAAGTCGAAACCATTTATCAGGAACTGGACCCAATTCACTATAATCCAAATCTTCTGGATAAGAGTAAAGATTTAGATATACAGTAAACTCTCGGTTAATGCATAACTCGATAAACGCATAAAATCGTGGGTGTGATCGCAGCTAATTCCCACTATGTGGCGTTAGAATAGATGAAAATGCACAGTCAAAGGCAGAAAAAAACTGCATTATGAATTATGCATTTATCGAGAGTTTACTGTAGTGAAGGTGAAACTAATTCAGTTTCTATATCTATTCAATACTCTGGACCACCATGTGAATCTCTTAGACACTTAACTTATTTACCTTTTTTCTCCTTTTTCATTCTCAGGAAAGTGGAAAAAAATATAATCAAAATTTTAGTTAAAGGGTGTAGCACTTAACAAGTTAAAAAATGGGAGGTGCTAATGTACCTTAGTCTTAACTAAAAATGAAGATAAGGTTGACAAAAATGTAAAAATTAAGCTACATTAGCACCTCCCATTTTTTAACGTGTTAAGTGCTACACCCTTTAACTAAAATTTTGATTATATTTTTTTCCACTTTCCTGAGAATGAAAAGGAGAAAAAGGTAAATAAGTTAAGTATCTAAGAGAAAAGATGAAAATGGTTACCTGTCTCTCTTGTATTGTTGATCTGCTTCCCAGAGACAAGCGTAATCATCAACATAACACTCATCAACGGTTGGAACTCGGGGAAATCTATAATGATAGTAGACACTTTGCTTCCTATTTGGAACAACAATTTTATCTATTAAAGAAAATTAATTCGTATTAATAACCAAAACACAAATGAATGTTGATTCTCACCATGTATCCAAGTTGCTGGGACATCAAAAAGGTTATAAGCAAAATTGGATAGCGATTGAACAGGAGAACTGAGATAGTCACTTCGGACTCGACCAAATGGTCCAATATGGTATTCCTCCTTTTTGAAGGAATGTTCCTTCATATTGTCAAATTTTTCTTCCATATCAGTTAATTGTAATTAAATCACTTAAACAAAATAGCATAAAAACAACAACACAGTTAATCAAATGTCCTTCATGAAAAATAAACGAATAGAAAAATCGACTCAATCGATTCAAAGATCGATAATAATATCTAGTATTGAAAAAGAAAAAGAGATGGCACCACATTTGCAAATTTCGATTTAACAAACGATTTAAACGACAATTAACAATTTTAAGTTAATTGTCGTTAGTAATCAAAAACTAACAGAACAAGAGAAGAGAAGAAAGAAAGAGAAAAGAAAGAGAAAAAGAAACACGAGTACACGAAATAAATCGGACAAGTAAACAATTAACGGGAAAACTTTTTTATTTGTTTCGAACTAACTTTTCGACCAAGTCGAAAAGTTTATTGATTGAGTTTTCCAACTCAATCAATTTGTTTTTAATGAAAACATTATCATCGTTAGATGATTGTGATGATGATGATGAACACATATTTTTTGAACTCTCGTCCAAAAGGACGAAGAGTTCATCCAGATCACTTTTAGAAGGCTCGAAGGTCACCAAGCTTCGAGCCTCCTCACAATAATTATGAATGAAAAGATGAACAATATCGTCATTGATGATTAATGGTGATGATGCCGGGGAAATCGGTTCGACGATTATCCCCGGAGTTGGACATTTTGGAGGAACTTGAGGAAGAACTTGAGGAACTTGAGGTGGAACTTGAGGCACATCATCAAGGTTTAATATGGGAAGGGAAACATAAAGTTTTTTAGTGATACCGAACGTATCTCGAAGGGCATCTTCTATTGCTTTCTCTCTCTGTCTCTCAAGCTCTAATTTTAAAACTAATGCAAAGTTTTTCCCACTCTCTTTCTTAGCTTTCATACGTCTCTTTCGACCCATTTTCACAATTAATTGACCTTAGAAACTTTTCGGGGTATTTATACTCGAAGTGAATAATAACCAATTGACCCAACGAAATTGCAATTTACTCTTTAGAATTTATTATTGACCATTGTGCATTGTTAATTTTGACAATTATAATCAATTCAAATGATTTATGTTCGAAATATACAATTACCATTCGAACAAACGAAATTCCAATGCAGCTTTGTAAATCTGTTTTTTCCATTGTTAATTGCTAATCTTGACAGTTTGCATCTATAGAAATGGTTTAAATTGCTTTTGTGCTTATAGTTAATTGTATGTTGAGTTTTTAACAAAACGTCAATGTGATTGATGGTTTTGTTTACGAAAAATCTTAAAGAGCAGATGGTCAACTTTTTCTAAAGAATACAATGGGAATAATAGATAATGATTGTATTCAAGCGTTAACAGTGCATCTATATTGTGTTAATTGTATTGTAAATTGTAATTTCGATATAATACATATAACGACATCTATTATTCAGTAAACATATTAATATAGACGAAAGTTTGTCAAGCCTCCAAGATGAAGTTTATGGACAACCTAGTGACACCTATCGACGGCTGATGTAACTAAAAATCGAAAAATTTTCTAAATAGGTTTTAACATGTATTATACCTATTATATATGCTTTTCAAGTATATTTAATGGTTTTTGAAGGTGAAGAATTGTTTCTAGTGAATAGAATGTCCATAATATTACCAAAACTATTATAATCAATGGAGAAAATGAAATTAATGGTTACAAAATGTATTTAATTGATTAATTGAAATGATACATACAGTTGTATCTTGGAAAAAGGTTATAATTAAAATGATACGATTGTATCCCATGGAAAAAGGTTATTATAATGGTGATACATATATGAAAAAAGGTTATAATTATAAAGCATTAGTCATGAGTAAGAAAATGATTAAATGAAAACCTTGATGATGACATAGTCGATGAATTCGGTAATTCGAGCCTGCATCTCATCATCGACTTTGACTCCGTAGATATCTCCAAGTTTTGATGGTTCGTAAGGATTTTCAAAGACTGGAATATTGAAGTAGGCAATAAGTCCAGTGTAAATCCAACACATTTTACGGAGATCAGCTTTAGTGAAGTCTCCGTTGCTATCTTCAAGGTCCTTGATGTAAACCATTACTGCCTTTTGAAACTTTCGAACAAACTCGTCAATTTGTCCTTGTTTCTCATCTCCAAGTTTAATTATAGTTTCCATAATGAATCGTATTGATGGAATGATACGATGAAGACCGGCAATAACAGTTATCGGGAGGTTGAGAATGGTTTTTTTATCACCCTTTTGACGAGTGAATTCATATTTACCATTTTTTGGTTTACCGGTAAGTCGTAAACCTGTAGCTTTGTATTTTGGAAGAGGTTCTGTATAGTTGAGATGTTGTTCAATGTGTACAATCTCTTGATATCCAAGAACCAATCCTTTACCAGCACCATAAACAGAACATCCATCACGAATATTGACAAAAAGAATATTATCCTTTTCAGCTTTTCCATTGGTAATAGCACAATGATATTTATGGTATGGAGATAACTTGATGGAGAAAAGTTCGTTAAAATCGACCCGTTTACGTTTTTTGGTCACTTCAATTTCAGAGTCAGAGTCTGTTGTAACGTTTTCAACTTGTCGTTTACCGGATTTATATGAAGCCATTTTCACTGTTGAAAAGAATGGATGAGAATGGTTAGTGTTGAGGAAAAAAACTGTTTCACAAGTTTAAAGGTTGAAGAGAACTTTGAGAATGATCAAAACTAACAATCGTCTCTTCTTATATAGTCACTTCGACTTAAGTGACACCATTTTCGGGAGATCAAGTTGAGAGAGCAAGTAGGATCCTATCAACACCAAGATGAGAGTGAGAAGGAGGAGGATTGTATAAAACATCAGTTGTTATTCAACATGCGGCTCGTAAACATTGTAGTTTCATATGAAGCGTCAGTAAAACTTGACCCAAAAAAGTACCCTGATTATAATCCAAAACGATTTAGTGGAGCAATCGTTAAGTATTCGAATGGTAAAGCTTTGGTTTTTTCAAGTAAAAAATTCACAGTAACTGGAACAACAAGTTTAAAGGAGTCCAAGAAAATAGCTGATGATATTGTTGGTCAAGGAAAAATCATCAAGAGAAAGATTTTAAATATCACTGGATCAAGTACAATTGGATTTGACTTTGACTTTAACAAGATTTTTTATAACAAACGTTTCTCTTGGGAACCTGAATTATTTCCAGGAATATATTGGAGAAAAAGTGGAAAAGGACCAGTTGTTGTATTTTTCCGGTCAAAAAAAGTTATAATCACTGGTGTTAAGAAGATAATGTTCTTTCAGAAAATGTTTACTAGGATAACATTAAAGTATTGATACGGGGACTAATCAAGGTCCATTTATTATAATTCAACGGAACTGTGGCCGGAGGCATTTGTGATAGTTTTCTCGACAAAAAAATCTGTTGGTTAAAAAGAACATCAAAAGTTGTCTTTAAACTTTAAATTTCATGATCTGAAAATACGGTGTTGCTGAGAAAAATTGACCTGAAGTTCTAACTTCGAACTCGATTTTCTCAAAAACTACTAATCAGATCAGAAAGAAATATATATATTTGGACTTCTCATTAGTGGCCCTACAAATACACAAAGTCCCAACTCTTAATTAAAAAGTCCAATTTTTACACATCGTCCTCAATTTCTCTTCTCTTTTTCCATTGAAAAAGTGTAATCAGCGCCATCTGATCCAAATGTTTTGCAACTTCTCTTTTCCTCATAGAGCTGAGGTCTCTTCTTCTTTACTCTTTGATCTTAATAGTCTGCCTGATATTTGTTCAATGTTTACAATAATATTGGCCTTTAAACGGGACTAATTGGCTGCCTTCATAGTTTCTCGATAGATAAAACTGTAAATTTACCCAATATCTTAGAGAAATCATCTTCATCTTCATCTAATTCAATAATACGAACTGTTAACATAATCGATTGCCTTGAAATGCCTTGTTCAGGATCAACCATCCAAAGATACACCAAAGATACAACCTCACCACCCACAACAACAACAACAACTTATCCATCATCCTCATCCTCATCCTCATTAGCTAATCATTATCCCTGTCATAATGGTGGTACCTGTTTACCTTTAATATCACCAATCGATGGCTCTCTGTCAAGCTCATGTAAATGTAAACCTGGTTACACAGGGAATCATTGTCAATTGGTGAGTGGTGAAAATTTTTGCTCAAAAGAAAACAATCCTTGTATCAAGGATACAATTTGTGCCTCGTTACCTGAGAATCAGGGTTACTCATGTTTCTGTACCTCTGATGATAATAGTCTCAACCTTTGTCTCAATGGTAAGTTGTAAAAGATTAACACAACCCTTGGAATTAATTGTGATTGTTAATTGTTTATCTTGATTACTTTCTCTCTTCCCAAAGCTCAACGAAAAACTGAAAATGCATTTATACCTGATTTTAGTTCAACCTCTTACTTGACCTTACCCACACTGACCAATATCGCTCAAACTTTTATCATTGAAATTTGGTTCTACTCCAGAGATCCTGATGGACTATTGTTTTACAATGGACAACAATCAATCAATTCTAGAGGTGATTTCATCTCATTGAATTTAGTTAATCGTTTTGTTCAATTTTCCTACAATTTAGGTTCAATTAATCCTCATGAAAGGTAAATCATTTTCTCATCAACTTATAGCAATTAAGCTGTGCGATTAGTGAAAGAAACAAAAATTATCAAACATAATCAGTGAGATCAATACTAATTGTTAATGGTATTTAATGATAGCACTAATTGTTAGTTAATTAATACCAAATTATCATCACAAAAAACATTCATTAGCTAATAATTACCATTGATTTAGTTGATTCTCATTCTGATTCTCTGATATAATTATGTTTTATTTTTACAAAGATGATTTGAGTTGTGAATGTTTTCGTTAATCGTTGATCAACTAATCAATTCACATGATTTAGAGATGAATTTAGTTATCATTTAAATTGTGATTTTATTCTTAATTGATTGGGGATACTAATTAATTCACTCTAATTGTTTTTTTTTGTTTCTCTTTCAATTGATTCGTTTTTATTTCCAGTGGATTGGTAACATTGAAGTAAGTCGATCAATCAACAAATATGAATAACAATTAAATATTGAATTTAGTATAGTTGATTGTTAATTTCTATCCAATTTTTCGTCGTTTAATTAGAAGTGATGATAAAATATCAATTGGTAAATGGCATTCAATTAGGATAACTCGAAATCGTAAACAAGGAAGTCTTCAATTGGATTCACTTGCAATGGTCTATGGAGAGGCGAAGGTCAGTTTATAATGAAAGTGTATTAATCATGTTAGTTAATTGTCGAAAGACAAAGATTTGACCATCTAATTGTGACAATCAGAGATACTTATCAAGATTAAGAGTGAGTTACCTTTGGTTAGTCCAGAAAAAAAGGTGATGATAATGGTGAAAAGGGATTAATATGATTAAATCTCTGAAACTCTCAATCCAGTTAATGATGGAAAAGTTATTTAGTTAATTGTGAGAAAGGGAATCAAGAATCGGATTAACAACAATAATCCATTTGTATTAAAGTTGATCAAATTTCCAAGTCACGAAAAAAAAGTAGAAAGTTAATTTAGTTGATTTATTAAATGATCGCGAATAAGTTTTCATTAAATATTTGGTAAAAAAGATTGTCAAAAATTGAGATAAATTAAATTGCTACAATTAAATGATTATGTCGATCAATATTCTGATTGATTCTTATTTTTCACCCTATCATTTAAAAGACTAATTTAAGTGAGCTTAACTTGGATCAACCATTTTATATTGGATCGATTCCTCCAATCAATTCATTAACTACTCACCGAGAATTAAATTTAACCAAAGGATTTAACGGAGCAATTCAGAGGATTGTGGTCAATGGTGATGTTTGGGATGATTTGCTTGACCGATCAATTGAGATTTACAATATTGCCAAATACTCTGGACCACCATGTGAATCACCTAATCCTTGTTCATCATCTTCATCTTCATCATCATCAAATTCAATTTGTGTCCCACAATTTAATGATTATTTCTGTAAATGTAATCACTTTGGCGATTATAATGAAAACTCATGTGATTCCAATGAAAAATGACAGAAAACAAAGAAAAATTTTATCACGAATAAAATTAAAATACTAATAAAATATTTACTTGTCCAACAATTAATTTAATTAATTTCTTTCTTGATTAAAGAAAAATGATCAAGAAAAAGTTTTCCATTTATTTAATAAACTAAGTTCAGATTTAGCTTCAATTTTATTTATTAAAATTTTATCACCAATTAATAATAATAATTGATTTCTTATTGTCTAAAAAATTCAATTTTAAACGACAATTAACAATTTTAAGTTAATTGTTGTTAAATCGAAATTTGCAAATGTGGTGCCATCTCTTTTTCTTTTTCAATACTAGATATTATTATCGATCTTTGAATCGATTGAGTCGATTTTTCTATTCGTTTATTTTTCATGAAGGACATTTGATTAACTGTGTTGTTGTTTTTATGCTATTTTGTTTAAGTGATTTAATTACAATTAACTAATATGGAAGAAAAATTTGACAATATGAAGGAGCATTCCTTCAAAAAGGAGGAATACCATATTGGACCATTTGGTCGAGTCCGAAGTGACTATCTTAGTTCTCCTGTTCAATCGCTATCCAATTTTGCTTTTAACCTTTTTGATGTCCCAGCAACTTGGATACATGGTGAGAATCAACATCCAATTGTGATTTAGCTAATTAATTATATAATTTTTGTTAATAGATAAAATTGTCGTGCCAAATAGAAAGCAAAGTGTCTACTATCATTATAAATTTCCCCGAGTTCCAACAGTTGATGAGTGTTATGTTGATGATTACGCTTGTCTCTGGGAAGCAGATCAACAATACAAGAGAGACAGGTAACCATTTTCATCTTTTCTCTTTTATACTTAATTCATTTACCTTTTTTTTCTCCTTTTTCATTTTCAGGAAAGTGGAAAAAAATATAATCAAGATTTTAGTTAGAAGATATGATGAGTGTATGGCCACTTATGGTGGTGTCGATTCCACTGCCAGAGCTTGGTGTGAACACCTTTTGGAAGACCGGGACAAAGCAGAAACAAATTATATGATAAAATGTTAGTTACTTTTTTATTCTCATCAGAATTAATATATAATCTAATTTATCTTTTTTTCTTTTTAGATGGTGAACTCCGTATGGATGGAACAGCAGCTTTGAATCTCATGGAGAATAGAACAAGATCAGCTGATGTTTACCTCAAACAAAAACATCGATATGTTTGGGAAAGGAAACAACAATTGAAAAAGGAAAAGGAAGAAAATGAATCAAAAGAATCAAAAGAATCAATTTGAGGAGAAAAAAATTAAACATTATGAATATTATTAGGTAAAGTGAAAATAATTTGTTAGAATTCCAATAGATATTGGACTGTTTTGATCAACAATTGATTATGTAAATTATGATTAATTCGTGTGATTAATAACAACTTATGGCTAAAAATTTTAAAATAAAACTATCATTCGTAATGAATACGGACGATTTTGTTGTGAAAAGATTCATCGAAACCAATTGGTCCTCCTTCGGCTTCTCTCATTATATGATCAAGTCGAAATCATTTATCAGGAACTGGACCCAATTCACTATAATTCAAATCTTCGGGATAAGAGTAGAGATTAAGATATGGTGAAGGTGAAACTAATTCAGTTTCATGAGGTGTTAATCCTTTACTTTCAAGGAATAAGTCAAAATCAGCTTTAACTTCAGTTAGTTGATGATTTACCTCTGGGTTGTTTGAACAATTTCGTCGATCCTTTTGGCATAATCAGTAAATTCTTTGGTATCAACAGAAATCAGATCGATGATTTGATCCAATGGACTTTTGGCAAACGATAGGCTACAAGTTCGAACCATTTCAGGCCATCTATCTAATGGATCTACATCACCACATGTTGGATTTGCTCTTTCTTTCTTCAAATTCCAACTTGAATCTCTTTAACAAAGTAAAGTTTTAACGTTGATTTTTCCTATTATTCATTGTATTCATTTTTCCATGAAAATTAAAGTTACATTGAGTTTCCAAAGATACACCAAAGATACAACCTCACCACCCACAACAACAACAACTACTACTACTTATCCATCATCCTCATCCTCATCCTCATTAGCTAATTTTTTTCCCTGTCATAATGGTGGTACCTGTTTACCTTTAATATCACCAATCGATGGCTCTCTGTCAAGCTCATGTAAATGTAAACCTGGTTACACAGGGAATCATTGTCAATTGGTGAGTGGTGACAATTTTTGCGCAAAAGAAAACAATCCTTGTATTAATGATACAATTTGTGCCTCATTACCTGAGAATCAGGGTTACTCATGTTTCCGTACCTCTGAAGATAATAGTCTCAACCTTTGTCTCAATGGTAAGTTGTAAAAGATTAACACAACCCTTGGAATTAATGGAAATGTATTAATAGTAAATTCATTGTTGAAATGATTATTGGGGTTGAAAAATTTAAAACGATTAAGGGCTGACCAGAAATACAAATCTTCTTGGCAAAGAGATTGCTGAAATATTACTTAACATTTAATAGAATCGAATTATTTATTTTTTGTTCGATTTTTCCAACCATGAATAACAATAAACATTGAATCTTTTCTTTTAATTAATAAGTAAAAATTAGCTTTAACTTCAGTTAGTTGATGTTTAACCAGTTGTCTGAATTGTTGAAACAATTTAGGATCATCATCTTCGTCTGATGCTTACGCTTTTGCATTAACATCATGGTTCAGCTGCGATCGCGAGTGATCTGATCATAGTCAGTAAGCTACTCACTTCGTGGTTATTGCAAATTGTGAGGCTAAAACTTGATCATAGGGCAGCTTAGGCTTTGGTTCTTGATTGGCTATTTTGGGATTTTGCTTATTACTCTTTAAATTAAATTAATTCATTTTCACTCAGTTAATTATCGAAAAGGATCATCAGTCATGAAGAGCGATCTATTCATTTTCTCCGAAAAGAAAATTCTAATAACCCGCTAAAATGATTATCTCTAAGTAAAAATCCGCCAAAATTTTTTTTTCAATATTCAGAGTAACCTGTTCACTCAAAGTTCTAGTTCGTTTTAACAACACAATCAACATGAATCTTAATGATCTTCCTGATATTTGTTTGATGACAATATTTGATAAGTTCGATGAGCTCGAAGATCTTATATCTTCATCTGCAGGTAAGAAGAACAGTTGAATCCTGAATATTCATTGACCATTTGTAAGTTTTTGCGTTTGTTGCTCTTCATTTTTGTTTTACTCACAAAAGTTTGTTCAAAATGGCGGAAATTGGTTCAGATTCGATATGAGAAAATCACAGCGTTAACATGTAAGCTTCCATTTAAACGTTTTAATACTAATCAGTCAACAAATCTTTGATCATTTAACTCACCATAAAACTTTTTTTCTCATTAGTTGTGTCAAGAAGGAAGATATTACCTCCGCCTCACAATATCTACACCAAGAGTTATCTATTCATAGAGAATATCAATGTGGCCGAAGTATTTCCGAACCTCGAGGTAAATTATAAACTTTTTCTTTTAAAAAAATTTAATAGCAAATTTGATATTAACTTTTAATCTGATTGGAATTGAAGCTATTGGAAGTTCTTTATATTCCTTCTACTCCTCCAACATGTCCATGCAGAGTTATAGCAAATGTATTGTCTACTGGGAATCCACTGCGAGGTTTATCAACTCGACTTGAATGCAAAAGTGAAGTAGAAAGTGTTGATGATCGTGAATGTGACGTTGACCTTGACCAACAAATAGTTAAACACTGTGGTAATCTTACTCGACTATTGGTGAATGATTCTGGATTCTTGAATCTCTTTTTCAATAAATACAAATTCGGTGAAAAGTTGAAAATGTTTGGTGGATTTTGTGGATCTAAAATAGGTACTTTCATCACTTATGCTAATCGAATGCCGAATCTTAAAAAGCTCTTTGCAAATGATCTTAAAGGTAATTTTCACTTTTAACTTATTAGAAAAAATCTTAATCTTTATTTTCTCCAGAACCAAACCCATACCAAGTGTACCCAGGAGTAGAAAAAATCACTTTCGAATCGCACTGGCCAGGATCTCCTTTTGTATGGCCATCATGCTTCCCTGATTTACGAAGTTTACACATCAGTTCTCATATAAGTTTATCGAATTATGTTAGGCCACCAATATACAAAAAGAATTACAATGTTCGAAAAGTTTCCATTGTTTTTCAACCAAATCCAAGAAATCTACGTACTATTACAAAAAATCTGATCAAAAATGTCGCATTTCAATTCCCTAATTGCCTAGAACTGACGATACTTTGCCCAAGTAAAGTTTTTACGAAAAATGATCCATTCAATATAATCAAGACAATGCCGAATTTATCTCTTCTTCGTTTAAGTCCAACAAATTTCAATGACCTTGGTGATGACATAACCAAAAAAATCGCAGATTACTGCCGACATGAAAATCGAAACCTTGTATTCGAAATAGTCGAGGAAAGAGATTACGAGTATGAGAAAGCAAATTTCCTGAATATGGACACTAAGTTTTTTTTGCCTTTTAAAAAATCCAACTAAGCATCTTGCGATCAAATAAAAATAAGGTTAATTCATGACCTTGATCACGAAGCATTCGAATTAAATCAATACAATCACAAGAAAAAGGGTTAACCAGAAAAAGGAGATTTTTTTCGATTTTTAAAAAGTTCAGTTGTACCTTGTTGCGAGGAAAGGAAAATGTATTAATAATAAATTTATTACTACAATGATTGGGCTTGCAAAAAACATTTTAAAGAATCGAATTATTTATTTTTTGTTCGATTCTCCCAACCACGAATAACAAGCTATATGCAATCTTTAGAAGTTAAAATAAGTGGTATACCAAAGTAAAGAGTCTCAATGAATGTATTGTTACCTCCATGGGTTAAAACGAGGTCAACCTTTGGAAGAATTTTAATTTGATTCAAATATCTTCCACCGATCATATTATCATATAATTTTATCTCCTCATGAAATGGACCTTTGGATACAATGAAACGATGAATAAAAATCACTATGAAATCTTTGCTATTATGAGTTAATCAATTCAATTTTAGTTAATTTCTGATTTACCAGTTGCATTGTTGAAACAATTTATTACTCTTTAAATTAAATTAATTCATTTTCACTCATAAAACACTCATATTGATGATTGATTCTTGATTGATTTGTCATTGAGAATATTTAATTGACAAGGAAATAGCAAAGCAAAATGTTAACAATAAAAAACTCTGATAATCAAATAATAATAAAATTTACTTTTCCAATGCGAACATAATTTCTATGATTAAGTCTCTTACGTTCAATCCAGTTAATTATCGAAAAGGATCATCAGTCATGAAGAGCGATCTATTCATTTTCTCCGAAAAGAAAATTCTAATAACCCGCTAAAATGATTATCTCTAAGTAAAATCCGCCAAAATTTTTCTTTTTCAATACTCAGAGTAACCTGTTCACTCAAAGTTCTAGTTCGTTTTAACAACACAATCAACATGAATCTTAATGATCTTCCTGATATTTGTTTGATGACAATATTTGATAAGTTCGATGAGCTCGAAGATCTTATATCTTCATCTGCAGGTAAGAAGAACAGTTGAATTTTGAATATTCATTGACCATTTGTAAGTTTTTGCGTTTGTTGCTCTTCATTTTTGTTTTGCTCACAAAAGTTTGTTCAAAATGGCGAAAATTGGTTCAGATTCGATATGAGAAAATCACACGCTTAACATGTAAGTTTTAAGAGCCGTCCGATTAATCAACTAATTAAAATCAATCACCAAATCTTTGTTAACATTGAAATTTTCTTCTTAATAGTAGCTAATGTGTCAGAAAGAAAGATCTTACCTCCGCCTTACAATATCTACACCAAGAGTTATCTATTCATGGAGAATATCAATGTGGCCAAGTATTTCCGAACCTCGAGGTAATTCAAAACTTTTCCTATCTCGAAAATTCTAATAACAAATTTGATATTAATTTTAATCTGATTGGAATTAAAGCTATTGGAAGCTCATCATATTCCTACTCTCTCACATGTCCATGCAGAGTTATAGCGAATGTATTGTCCACTGCGAATCAACTGAAAGGTTTATCCGCTCGAATTAATTGCAGAGATATAGAAGGTGTTGTGTTTCTTGATTGTGATGTTGACCAAGACCAGCAAATAGTTAAATATTGTGGTAATCTTACTCGACTATTGATGAATGATCCTGGATTTCTGAATCTCTTTTTCAATAAATACAAATTCGGTGAAAATTTGCAAATGTTTGCTGGTTTCGGTGGATCTTACATGAAAAATTTCAACACTTATGCTACTCGAATGCCGAATCTTAAAAAACTTTATGCGTCAAGTCAGAATGGTAATTTTCAATTTTATTTTATTAAATATGAGAAATTAATCTTTATCCTTTTTCATCAGCAATAAGAGACTCCAATCCAACTTTTCCAGGAGTTGAGGAAATGATTTTCATATCGTTTAGCTTGTCTCTTCCTTTTCAATATTCATCACACTTTCCTGATCTACAAAATTAGACATTTGGGTTCATATTCATCGGAACATGACGAGTGTGGAGACGAAAAGAACTATAAAGTCAAACAGTCTCTATCAAGTTTGCACCAGAAACAAAAATGCTGAATTTCTGAAAAAATCTGACCGAAAATATCGCATTTCAATTTCCTAATTGCACCAAACTGACGATACGTTGCCCAAGTAACATTTTGGTGGAAGAAGATCCAATCAATATAATCAAGTCGATGCCGAATCTATCTCATCTTCGCTTAAGTCCAATAACTTCCAATAACTCTGATGATTACATAACCAAAATAATCGAAGATTATTGCCGACTAATAAACCGAAATCTTGTATTCGAGATAGTTGAGCAAAGTGGTGATGATGAATAACATCATGTACATTGGTTCCATGGTTTATGTTGCAACTAAATTGGAATGTAGTAAATTAAATACCGGAATGATTGTTGACCTGGAAAATTAACCGATTAAAGACTCGCCAGAAAAAAGAATATTCTTGCTCGCGAAATTGAAACAATATTATTACTTATACTATAAGAGGTTTACCAAAGTAAAGAGTCTCAATGAATGTATTGTTACCTCCATGGGTTAAAACGAGGTCAACCTTTGGAAGAATTTTAATTTGATTCAAATATCTTCCACCGATCATATTATCATATAATTTTATCTCCTCATGAAATGGACCTTTGGATACAATGAAACGATGTTTCGATTCACCCATGAAACCAATCAATTGATTCATCAAAGTGACATTCGCACTTCCCATTGATCCTAAACTGAATAAAATGATCTTTTCATTGGTATTGAAAAAAGATTCATCGAAACCAATTGGTCCTCCTTCGGCTTCTCTCACCATATGATCAAGTCGAAACCATTTATCAGGAACTGGACCCAATTCACTATAATCCAAATCTTCTGGATAAGAGTAGAGATTAAGATATGGTGAAGGTGAAACTAATTCAGTTTCATGAGGTGTTAATCCTTTACTTTCAAGGAATAAGTCAAAATCAGCTTTAACTTGTTAGTTGTTGTTTAACCAGTTGTCTAAATTGTTGGAACAATTTAGGATCATCAGAAGCTCCTAATCCAGAGTATCTTGGGGATTATTTGGAGATTCGTAAGCGAAAAGTGGATTAGCTGAGTAAAGGAGAACCCATGGTTTACCTGATCGAGTTACGGATGGAACAGTTACATAAAAATCGATGATAATTAGATCAGGATTAACCTTCTCAATGGCCTTTGCTACTTGATCGTCGATCCTTTTGGCATAATCAGTAAATTCTTTGGTATCAGTAGCAAGTAGATCGATGATTTGATCTGAAGGACTTTTGGCAAACGATGGGCCAAGAGCACGAACCATTCCAGCCCATCTATCAATGGATCTACATCACCACAAGTTGGATCGACAATTGGTTCAATCGAAAACGAATGACCAGTAATGAGAACTGACCAATTTGAAGGAACAACGAAAACCGATTCATGACCTTGATCACGAAGCATTCGAGCTAAACCAATACAAGAGTTAACGTGTCCATGCCTAGTAGACAAAAACAAAATAAAACACAATCACAATTAACGAATCAAAACATCACAATCAACAGACAAAATGTAAACAAAAGTAACAATCATTTACTGTTTTCCAATAGAAATCATAGACTTTTCTTTTGAATAATCAAACCGAAAAGTCAATTAACGAGAACACATTAATTAATCTGTTACATTTGGATCCCAGTAAAGGTTAAAACAATTACTCAATCGTGATTAAATTAAACACTCACAATAATCACAAAGACAAATTGTTTGGAATCACAAGAAAAAGGGTTAACCAGAAAAAAGAGATTTTTGTAAACAGAAAACATACCCATCCATTGGGAAGAAAACAAGCTTCATACTGTAAGAAGATGATGAAGATTGGAGATGAGAATAGAACAAAAAAACAAATCAAATCAACAACAATTAAAAAGAAAATTATAAAAAAATAGTTTATTTTTTTTAGTTATTTAGTTATTTAGTTTTTTTCAGTATAGTTGATTGAGAGAAAATGTAACACTCTCTCTCAATCGAGAAACTCAAAGTTCTGTTGATCAAACGAAAATAAGTAAACAGATACAAGTACAAGAAAATCTATTCGAATGAGAATCGAAAGTTTTCCATCAATGATTGAAATTCAATCAATTTGATTTAAAATCAAATGATTTTACTCAATGGTGATATTTGTAGATGATTTGCTTGACCGATCAATTGAGATTTTCAATATTGCCAAATACTCTGGACCACCATGAATCACCTAATCCTTGTTCATCATCTTCATCTTCATCATCATCATCAAATTCAATTTGTGTCCCACAATTTGATGTTTTCTCTGTAAATGTAATCACTTTGGCGATTACAATGATAATACATGTGATTCTACTGAAAACAAAGAAAAAATCTACCACGAATAAAATTCAAATACTAATAAACACTTACTTGTCCAACAATTAATTGAATTTATTAATTTACTTCTCGATTGAAACAATTAAGAAATCGTAAGTACATCTTTTGGACGGTAAGGAAAAGTCAGATTGACTGTGGACTATTTTGATCAGCGATTGATTAATTACAACTTATCACTTAAAGACAATCATTTGTAGTGAATGCGGTTCATTTTTTGTCACATCTTTGACCTTCGAGCTTTTTTTGTAAAAAGCGGGTGAATCGCTCGAGGCGATGTTCTAGCTGATGAAAGGTGAAATGTCTCTCTGGTTACCAGTCCAGTCAAACTAGTCCGATAAACAAACATTTCCATTCGCAACTTTAAAAGTTTTTTCCCATCATTTTAAGTTTTTTGTCAATCAACAATTTTAGTGCCTTTTAACCATCAACATGAATGTTAATGATCTATATGATATTTGTTTGATGACAATATTTGATAAGTTTGATGAGCTTGAAGATCTTCTAATTATATCTCAAGGTAAGAATAACAATTGAGATCTGAATCGGCAACTTAAGGTCTTTTTGTTTCTTCTCTTTTTTCTTCCACACAAAAGTTTGTTCAAAATGGCGGAGATTGGCGCAGATTCGATGCGAGAAAATCACAGGCTTGACATGTAAGTTTCATGATCTGAACGATTTACTAACTAATTCAAATCAATCACCAAATTTCAACTGACTATAAAATCTTTTCTTAATAGTTTCACCAAGAAACAAGGTATATATATTACCTAAACCTCAGAATATCTACACGAAAAGTTATAAATTCATGGAGAATATCAATGTTGCCAGTATTTCCGAACCTCAAGGTAAATTAGAAACTTTTTCTTCTCGAAAATTCTAATAGTAAATTTGATATTAACTTTTAATCTTATTGCTATAAAAGCTATTGGAAGCTCATTCTTTTGGTCCAATATGTCTATGTAGAGTTGTAGCAAATGTATTGTCCACTGGAAATCCACTGAGGGATTGTTTGTTGAATTCGAGCGCGTAAGCACCTATGAAATATATAAGGTAAAGCCCAACATCATGTTGACCTGGACCAGGAAATAGTTAAACACTGTGGTAATCTTACTCGACTTTTGGTGAACGATCCTAAATTTCTTGATCTCTTTTTCAATAAATATAAATTCGGTGCTAAGTTGAAAATGTTTGGTGGATTTTGTGGATCTAAAATAGGTACTTTCATCACTTATGCTAATCGAATGCCGAATCTTAAAAAACTTTATTTACAAGATAAGGAAGGTAATTTTCACTTGTTACGATTGTTAATAAGAGAAATTAATATTCATTTATTTTATCAGTTACAGAGAACTTCCAGTTTCCAAGCTTTGGTTACAAGTTTCCAGGAGTAGAAGAATTAACTCTAGCCTCAGGTAGTAATTATCTCTTTTACTCTCGATGGTCATCGCGCTTTCCTGATTTAAGAGATTTACATATTGCTTACATCGATTATGATTCTGGAAAATTTGGTAGTTTAGCAGAATCAATTCCTAAAAGTAATTATAATGTTCGAAAAGTCTTTCTCAATTTTACCGATTATACAATCCTAGAGAGGTCAAGCACGTCATGTAATGAAAATTACATTTCGATATCCTAATTGTACCAGTCTGATATTTGCCTTCACCAATTTTGTAACAATAGGATACAATCGAAATAATCAAGGCGATGCCAAATTTATCTTCTCTTTATTTACCTCTGATAACCACCAATAATCACGAAAGCGACATAATCAAGATAATCGATGATTTTGTCGAAAGAGAATCGAAACCTGGTATTCAGAATAGTCCAAGGTTCTGGTGGGGTACAGGCCCATGAACGTTGGTACTCATCTTTTTCACCTTTAACGAAACATAGGGAATTCGTGGGAGAAAACAAATCAAACCAATATTTACAATAATATCGACCTATCGGGACTAATTGATTGCCTTTACAGTTTCTCAATAGATAAGATTGTAAATTTATTCAATATCTAAATTTAATAACTTTGGTTATTATAGTGATAACTTATGTGATTCTGATGAAAACAAAGAAAGAAGCTTAAAATTTTCCAAAAAATTTCTCTTTTTTCAGTTGAAAGTTTTTTCCTAACGTGATGTTTTTTGTCAATCAACAATTTTAGCGGTTGTAACCATCAACATGCATCTTAATAGTCTGCCTGATATTTGTTCAATGACCATAATTTTAATGCACGTTTGTCAATCGAAAATGTCGCATTGAGCTTCGATATGATCTTGGTTCTGGTATGGTTATTATAAGATCAAAGGAGACAATTTCTATTGGATATGTTGTCCATCTAGTAGCGAAACGTTTCATGAAAGATGGTATATTGTCCATTGATGGTCAGTCTGATGTTACCGGGTCATCTCCGGGTTCCCTGAGTTCACTTGATTGAAACCTTTACCTTGGTTGGATAAAAACCAATCGAACCAATATTTACAATAATATCGGCCTTAAAACGGGACTAATCGGTTGCCTTTATAGTTTCTCGATAGATAAAACTGTAAATTTACCCAATATCTTAGAGAAATCATCTTCGTCTTCATCTTCATCTAATTCAATAATACGAACTGTTAACATAATCGATTGCCTTGAAATGCCTTGTTCAGGATCAACCATCCAAAGATACACCAAAGATACAACCTCACCACACAACAACAACAACTTATCCATCATCCTCATCCTCATCACTATTAGCTAATTTTTTTCCCTGTCATAATGGTGGTACCTGTTTACCTTTAATATCACCAATCGATGGCTCATGTAAATGTAAACCTGGTTACACAGGGAATCATTGTCAATTGGTGAGTGGTGACAATTTTTGCTCAAAAGAAAACAATCCTTGTATCAAGGATACAATTTGTGCCTCATTACCTGAGAATCAGGGTTACTCATGTTTCTGTACCTCTGAAGATAATAGTCTCAACCTTTGTCTCAATGGTAAGTTGTAAAAGATTAACACAACCCTTGGAATTAATTGTAATTGTTAATTGTTTATCCTGATTATCTTTCACTCTTCCCAAAGCTCAATGAAAAACTGAAAATGCATTTATACCTGATTTTAGTTCAAGTTTGATCGTCGATCCTTTGACATAACCAGTAAACTCTTTGGTATCAGTAAAATTTTTACGACTTCTAGTGAGTGCAATTGAATGTCTTGTTGCGAGGAAATGGAAATGTATTAATAGTAAATTCATTGTTGGAATGATTATTGAGTCTGAAAATTTAAAACGATTAAGGGCCCTTCGTGGTTATTGCAAATTTTGAGGCTAAAATTTGATCATAAGGCAGCAGGCTTTGATCATTTATTTTGGATTTTGCTTATTACTCTTTAGATTAAATTGATTCATTTTCACTCATAAAACACTCATATTGATGATTGATGATTGATTTATTTGTCATTGAGAATATTTAATTGCCAAGGAAATAGCAAAGCAAAATGTTAACAATAAAAACTCTGATAATCAAATAAGAATAAAATTTACCTTTCCAAGGAAAACATAATTTCTATGATTAAGTCTCTTACGTTCAATCCAGTTAATTATCGAAAAGGATCATCAGTCATGAAGAGCGATCTATTCATTTTCTCCGAAAAGAAAATTCTAATAACCCGCTAAAATGATTATCTCTAAGTAAAATCCATAAAATTTTTTTCAATACTCAGAGTAACCTGTTCACTCAAAGTTCTAGTTCGTTTTAACAACACAATCAACATGAATCTTAATGATCTTCCTGATATTTGTTTGATGACAATATTTGATAAGTTCGATGAGCTCGAAGATCTTATATCTTCATCTGCAGGTAAGAAGAACAGTTGAATCCTGAATATTCATTGACCATTTGTAAGTTTTTGCGTTTGTTGCTCTTCATTTTTGTTTTGCTCACAAAAGTTTGTTCAAAATGGCGAAAATTGGTTCAGATTCGATATGAGAAAATCACACGCTTAACATGTAAGTTTTAAGAGCCGTCCGATTAATCAACTAATTAAAATCAATCACCAAATCTTTGTTAACATTGAAATTTTCTTCTTAATAGTAGCTAATGTGTCAGAAAGAAAGATCTTACCTCCGCCTTACAATATCTACACCAAGAGTTATCTATTCATGGAGAATATCAATGTGGCCGAAGTATTTCCGAACCTCGAGGTAATTCAAAAACTTTTTCCTAACTCGAAAATTCTAATAGCAAATTCGATATTAATTTTTAATCTGATTGGAATTGAAGCTATTAGAAGCTCTATATATTCCTACTCCTCTCACATGTCCATGCAGAGTTATAGCGAATGTATTGTCCACTGGGAATCCACTGAGAGGTTTATCCGCTCGAATTAATTGCAGAGATATAGAAGGTGTTGTGTTTCTTGATTGTGATGTTGACCAAGACCAGCAAATAGTTAAATATTGTGGTAATCTTACTCGACTATTGATGAATGATCCTGGATTTCTGAATCTCTTTTTCAATAAATACAAATTCGGTGAAAATTTGCAAATGTTTGCTGGTTTCGGTGGATCTTACATGAAAAATTTCAACACGTATGCTAATCGAATGCCGAATCTTAAAAAACTTAAGGCATCAAGTCTTGATGGTAATTTTCAATTTATTTTATTAAATATGAAAATGAAAAATAATAATTAATCTTTATCCTTTTTCAGCAATACCAGACTTCACTCCAACTTTTCCAGGAGTTGAGGAAATGACTTTCATATCGTTTAGCTTGTCTCTTCCTTTTCAATATTCATCACACTTTCCTGATCTACAAAAATTAGACATTTGGGTTCATATTCATCGGAACATGACGAGTGTGGAGACGAAAAGAACTATAAAGTCCAAACAGTCTCTATCAAGTTTGCACCAGAAACAAAAAATGCTGAATTTCTGAAAAAAAATCTGACCGAAAATATCGCATTTCAATTTCCTAATTGCACCAAACTGACGATACGTTGCCCAAGTAACATTTTGGTGGAAGAAGATCCAATCAATATAATCAAGTCGATGCCGAATCTATCTCATCTTCGCTTAAGTCCAATAACTTCCAATAACTCTGATGATTACATAACCAAAATAATCGAAGATTATTGCCGACTAATAAACCGAAATCTTGTATTCGAGATAGTTGAGCAAAGTGGTGATGATGAATAACATCATGTACATTGGTTCCATGGTTTATGTTGCAACTAAATTGGAATGTAGTAAATTAAATACCGGAATGATTGTTGACCTGGAAAATTAACCGATTAAAGACTCGCCAGAAAAAGAATATTCTTGCTCATGAAATTGAAACAATATTATTACTTATACTATAAGAGGTTTACCAAAGTAAAGAGTCTCAATGAATGTATTGTTACCTCCATGGGTTAAAACGAGGTCAACCTTTGGAAGAATTTTAATTTGATTCAAATATCTTCCACCGATCATATTATCATATAATTTTATCTCCTCATGAAATGGACCTTTGGATACAATGAAACGATGTTTCGATTCACCCATGAAACCAATCAATTGATTCATCAAAGTGACATTCGCACTTCCCATTGATCCTAAACTGAATAAAATGATCTTTTCATTGGTATTGAAAAAAGATTCATCGAAACCAATTGGTCCTCCTTCGGCTTCTCTCACCATATGATCAAGTCGAAACCATTTATCAGGAACTGGACCCAATTCACTATAATCCAAATCTTCTGGATAAGAGTAGAGATTAAGATATGGTGAAGGTGAAACTAATTCAGTTTCATGAGGTGTTAATCCTTTACTTTCAAGGAATAAGTCAAAATCAGCTTTAACTTCAGTTAGTTGTTGTTTAACCAGTTGTCTAAATTGTTGGAACAATTTAGGATCATCAAACTCTAATCCAGAGTATCTTGGGGATTATTTGGAGATTCGTAAGCGAAAAGTGGATTAGCTGAGTAAAGGAGAACCCATGGTTTACCTGATCGAGTTACGGATGGAACAGTTACATAAAAATCGATGATAATTAGATCAGGATTAACCTTCTCAATGGCCTTTGCTACTTGATCGTCGATCCTTTTGGCATAATCAGTAAATTCTTTGGTATCAGTAGCAAGTAGATCGATGATTTGATCTGAAGGACTTTTGGCAAACGATGGGCCAAGAGCACGAACCATTCCAGCCCATCTATCCAATGGATCTACATCACCACAAGTTGGATCGACAATTGGTTCAATCGAAAACGAATGACCAGTAATGAGAACTGACCAATTTGAAGGAACAACGAAAACCGATTCATGACCTTGATCACGAAGCATTCGAGCTAAACCAATACAAGAGTTAACGTGTCCATGCCTAGTAGACAAAAACAAAATAAAACACAATCACAATTAACGAATCAAAACATCACAATCAACAGACAAAATGTAAACAAAAGTAACAATCATTTACTGTTTTCCAATAGAAATCATAGACTTTTCTTTTGAATAATCAAACCGAAAAGCCAATTAACAAGAACATTAATTTATTGGTTACATTTGGATCCCAGTAAAGGTTAAAACAATTACTCAATTGTGATCAAATTAAACACTCACAATAATCACAAAGACAAATTGTTTGGAATCACAAGAAAAAGGATTAACCAGAAAAAAGAGATTTTTGTAAACAGAAAACATACCCATCCATTGGGAAGAAAACAAGCTTCATACTGTAAGAAGATGATGAAGATTGGAGATGAGAATAGAACAAAAAAACAAATCAAATCAACAACAATTAAAGAAAATTATAAAAAATAGTTTATTGTTATTTAATTATTTAGTTTAGTATAGTTGATTGAGAAAATGTAACACTCTCTCTCAATCGAGAAACTCAAAGTTCTGTTGATCAAACGAAAATAAGTAAACAGATACAAGTACAAGAAAATCTATTCGAATGAGAATCGAAAGTTTTCCATCAATGATTGAAATTCAATCAATTTGATTTAAAATCAAATGATTTTACTCAATGGTGATATTTGTAGATGATTTGCTTGACCGATCAATTGAGATTTTCAATATTGCCAAATACTCTGGACCACCATGTGAATCACCTAATCCTTGTTCATCATCTTCATCTTCATCATCATCATCAAATTCAATTTGTGTCCCACAATTTGATGTTTTCTCTGTAAATGTAATCACTTTGGCGATTACAATGATAATACATGTGATTCTACTGAAAACAAAGAAAAAATCTACCACGAATAAAATTCAAATACTAATAAACACTTACTTGTCCAACAATTAATTGAATTTATTAATTTACTTCTCGATTGAAACAATTAAGAAATCGTAAGTACATCTTTTGGACGGTAAGGAAAAGTCAGATTGACTGTGGACTATTTTGATCAGCGATTGATTAATTACAACTTATCACTTAAAGACAATCATTTGTAGTGAATGCGGTTCATTTTTTGTCACATCTTTGACCTTCGAGCTTTTTTTGTAAAAAGCGGGTGAATCGCTCGAGGCGATGTTCTAGCTGATGAAAGGTGAAATGTCTCTCTGGTTACCAGTCCAGTCAAACTAGTCCGATAAACAAACATTTCCATTCGCAACTTTAAAAGTTTTTTCCCATCATTTTAAGTTTTTTGTCAATCAACAATTTTAGTGCCTTTTAACCATCAACATGAATGTTAATGATCTATATGATATTTGTTTGATGACAATATTTGATAAGTTTGATGAGCTTGAAGATCTTCTAATTATATCTCAAGGTAAGAATAACAATTGAGATCTGAATCGGCAACTTAAGGTCTTTTTGTTTCTTCTCTTTTTTCTTCCACACAAAAGTTTGTTCAAAATGGCGGAGATTGGCGCAGATTCGATGCGAGAAAATCACAGGCTTGACATGTAAGTTTCATGATCTGAACGATTTACTAACTAATTCAAATCAATCACCAAATTTCAACTGACTATAAAATCTTTTCTTAATAGTTTCACCAAGAAACAAGGTATATATATTACCTAAACCTCAGAATATCTACACGAAAAGTTATAAATTCATGGAGAATATCAATGTTGCCGAAGTATTTCCGAACCTCAAGGTAAATTAGAAACTTTTTTTCTTCTCGAAAATTCTAATAGTAAATTTGATATTAACTTTTAATCTTATTGCTATAAAAGCTATTGGAAGCTCATTCTTTTGGTCCAATATGTCTATGTAGAGTTGTAGCAAATGTATTGTCCACTGGAAATCCACTGAGGGGATTGTTTGTTGAATTCGAGCGCGTAAGCACCTATGAAATATATAAGGGTAAAGCCCAACATCATGTTGACCTGGACCAGGAAATAGTTAAACACTGTGGTAATCTTACTCGACTTTTGGTGAACGATCCTAAATTTCTTGATCTCTTTTTCAATAAATATAAATTCGGTGCTAAGTTGAAAATGTTTGGTGGATTTTGTGGATCTAAAATAGGTACTTTCATCACTTATGCTAATCGAATGCCGAATCTTAAAAAACTTTATTTACAAGATAAGGAAGGTAATTTTCACTTGTTACGATTGTTAATAAGAGAAATTAATATTCATTTATTTTATCAGTTACAGAGAACTTCCAGTTTCAAGCTTTGGTTACAAGTTTCCAGGAGTAGAAGAATTAACTCTAGCCTCAGGTAGTAATTATCTCTTTTACTCTCGATGGTCATCGCGCTTTCCTGATTTAAGAGATTTACATATTGCTTACATCGATTATGATTCTGGAAAATTTGGTAGTTTAGCAGAATCAATTCCTAAAAGTAATTATAATGTTCGAAAAGTCTTTCTCAATTTTACCGATTATACAATCCTAGAGAGGAGTCAAGCACGTCATGTAATGAAAGAAATTACATTTCGATATCCTAATTGTACCAGTCTGACGATATTTGCCTTCACCAATTTTGTAACAATAGAGGATACAATCGAAATAATCAAGGCGATGCCAAATTTATCTTCTCTTTATTTACCTCTGATAACCACCAATAATCACGAAAGCGACATAATCAAGATAATCGATGATTTTTGTCGAAAAGAGAATCGAAACCTGGTATTCAGAATAGTCCACCAAGGTTCTGGTGGGGTACAGGCCCGCATGAACGTTGGTACTCATCTTTTTTTCACCTTTAACGAAACATAGGGAATTCGTGGGAGAAAACAAATCAAACCAATATTTACAATAATATCGACCTATCGGGACTAATTGATTGCCTTTACAGTTTCTCAATAGATAAGATTGTAAATTTATTCAATATCTAAATTTAATAACTTTGGTTATTATAGTGATAACTTATGTGATTCTGATGAAAACAAAGAAAGAAGCTTAAAATTTTCCAAAAAATTTCTCTTTTCAGTTGAAAGTTTTTCCTAACGTGATGTTTTTGTCAATCAACAATTTTAGCGGTTGTAACCATCAACATGCATCTTAATAGTCTGCCTGATATTTGTTCAATGACCATAATTTTAATGCACGTTTGTCAATCGAAAATGTCGCATTGAGCTTCGATATGATCTTGGTTCTGGTATGGTTATTATAAGATCAAAGGAGACAATTTCTATTGGATCTGTTGTCCATTTAGTAGCGAAACGTTTCATGAAAGATGGTATATTGTCCATTGATGGTCAGTCTGATGTTACCGGGTCATCTCCGGGTTCCCTGAGTTCACTTGATTGAAACCTTTACCTTGGTTGGATAAAAACCAATCGAACCAATGTTTACAATAATATCGGCCTTAAAACGGGACTAATCGGTTGCCTTTATAGTTTCTCGATAGATAAAACTGTAAATTTACCCAATATCTTAGAGAAATCATCTTCGTCTTCATCTTCATCTAATTCAATAATACGAACTGTTAACATAATCGATTGCCTTGAAATGCCTTGTTCAGGATCAACCATCCAAAGATACACCAAAGATACAACCTCACCACCCACAACAACAACAACTTATCCATCATCCTCATCCTCATCACTATTAGCTAATTTTTTTCCCTGTCATAATGGTGGTACCTGTTTACCTTTAATATCACCAATCGATGGCTCATGTAAATGTAAACCTGGTTACACAGGGAATCATTGTCAATTGGTGAGTGGTGACAATTTTTGCTCAAAAGAAAACAATCCTTGTATCAAGGATACAATTTGTGCCTCATTACCTGAGAATCAGGGTTACTCATGTTTCTGTACCTCTGAAGATAATAGTCTCAACCTTTGTCTCAATGGTAAGTTGTAAAAGATTAACACAACCCTTGGAATTAATTGTAATTGTTAATTGTTTATCCTGATTATCTTTCACTCTTCCCAAAGCTCAATGAAAAACTGAAAATGCATTTATACCTGATTTTAGTTCAAGTTTGATCGTCGATCCTTTGACATAACCAGTAAACTCTTTGGTATCAGTAAAATTTTTACGACTTCTAGTGAGTGCAATTGAATGTCTTGTTGCGAGGAAATGGAAATGTATTAATAGTAAATTCATTGTTGGAATGATTATTGAGTCTGAAAAATTTAAAACGATTAAGGGCCCTTCGTGGTTATTGCAAATTTTGAGGCTAAAATTTGATCATAAGGCAGCTTAGGCTTTGATCATTTATTTTGGATTTTGCTTATTACTCTTTAGATTAAATTGATTCATTTCACTCATGAAAGACTCATATTGATAATTGATTCTTGATTGATTTGTCATTGAGAATATTTAATTGCCAAGGAAATAGCAAAGCAAAATGTTAACAATAAAAAACTCTGATAATCAAATAATAATAAAATTTACTTTTCCAATGCGAACATAATTTCTATGATTAAGTCTCTTACGTTCAATCCAGTTAATTATCGAAAAGGATCATCAGTCATGAAGAGCGATCTATTCATTTTCTCCGAAAATTCTAATAACCCGCTAAAATGATTATCTCTAAGTAAAATCCATAAAATTTTCTTTTCAATACTCAGAGTAACCTGTTCACTCAAAGTTCTAGTTCGTTTTAACAACACAATCAACATGAATCTAAATGATCTTCCTGATATTTGTTTGATGACAATATTTGATAAGTTCGATGAGCTCGAAGATCTTATATCTTCATCTGCAGGTAAGAAGAACAGTTGAATCCTGAATATTCATTGACCATTTGTAAGTTTTTGCGTTTGTTGCTCTTCATTTTTGTTTTACTCACAAAAGTTTGTTCAAAATGGCGGAAATTGGTTCAGATTCGATATGAGAAAATCACAGCGTTAACATGTAAGCTTCCATTTAAACGTTTTAATACTAATCAGTCAACAAATCTTTGATCATTTAACTCACCATAAAACTTTTTTTCTCATTAGTTGCGTCAAGAAGGAAGATATTACCTCCGCCTGACAATATCTACACCAAGAGTTATCTATTCATAGAGAATATCAATGTGGCCGAAGTATTTCCGAACCTCGAGGTAAATTATAAACTTTTTCTTTTAAAAAATTTTAATAGCAAATTTGATATTAACTTTTAATCTGATTGGAATTGAAGCTATTGGAAGTTCTTTATATTCCTTCTACTCCTCAAACATGTCCATGCAGAGTTATAGCGAATGTATTGTCTACTGGGAATCCACTGCGAGGTTTATCCACTCGACTTGAATGCAAAAGTGAAGTAGAAAGTGTTGATGATCGTCATTGTGACGTTGACCTTGACCAACAAATAGTTAAACACTGTGGTAATCTTACTCGACTATTGGTGAATGATTCTGGATTCTTGAATCTCTTTTTCAATAAATACAAATTCGGTGAAAAGTTGCAAATGTTTGGTGGTAGTTTTTGTGGATCTTACATGGCAACTTTCAACACTTATGCTACGCGAATGCCGAATCTTAAAAATCTCTTTGCAAATGATCTTAAAGGTAATTTTCACTTTTAACTTATTAGAAAAAATCTTAATCTTTATTTTCTCCAGAACCAAACCCATACCAAGTGTATCCAGGAGTAGAAAAAATCACTTTCGAATCGCACTGGCCAGGATCTCCTTTTGTATGGCCATCATGCTTCCCTGATTTACGAAGTTTACACATCAGTTCTCATATAAGTTTATCGAATTATGTTAGGCCACCAATATACAAAAAGAATTACAATGTTCGAAAAGTTTCCATTGTTTTTCAACCAAATCCAAGAAATCTACGTACTATTACAAAAAATCTGATCAAAAATGTCGCATTTCAATTCCCTAATTGCCTAGAACTGACGATACTTTGCCCAAGTAAAGTTTTTACGAAAAATGATCCATTCAATATAATCAAGACAATGCCGAATTTATCTCTTCTTCGTTTAAGTCCAACAAATTTCAATGACCTTGGTGATGACATAACCAAAAAAATCGCAGATTACTGCCGACATGAAAATCGAAACCTTGTATTCGAAATAGTCGAGGAAAGAGATTATGAGAAAGCAAATTTCCTGAATATGGACACTAAGTTTTTTTTGCCTTTTAAAAAATCCAACTAAGCATCTTGCGATCAAATAAAAATAAGGTTAATTCATGACCTTGATCACGAAGCATTCGAATTAAATCAATACAATCACAAGAAAAAGGGTTAACCAGAAAAAGGAGATTTTTTTCGATTTTTAAAAAGTTCAGTTGTACCTTGTTGCGAGGAAAGGAAAATGTATTAATAATAAATTTATTACTACAATGATTGGGCTTGCAAAAAACATTTTAAAGAATCGAATTATTTATTTTTTGTTCGATTCTCCCAACCACGAATAACAAGCTATATGCAATCTTTAGAAGTTAAAATAAGTGGTATACCAAAGTAAAGAGTCTCAATGAATGTATTGTTACCTCCATGGGTTAAAACGAGGTCAACCTTTGGAAGAATTTTAATTTGATTCAAATATCTTCCACCGATCATATTATCATATAATTTTATCTCCTCATGAAATGGACCTTTGGATACAATGAAACGATGAATAAAATCACTATGAAATCTTTGCTATTATGAGTTAATCAATTCAATTTTAGTTAATTTCTGATTTACCAGTTGCATTGTTGAAACAATTTATTACTCTTTAAATTAAATTAATTCATTTTCACTCATAAAACACTCATATTGATGATTGATTCTTGATTGATTTGTCATTGAGAATATTTAATTGCCAAGGAAATAGCAAAGCAAAATGTTAACAATAAAAAACTCTGATAATCAAATAATAATAAAATTTACTTTTCCAATGCGAACATAATTTGTATGATTAAGTCTCTTACGTTCAATCCAGTTAATTATTGAAAAGGATCATCAGTCATGAAGAGCGATCTATTCATTTTCTCAGAAAAGAAAATTCTAATAACCCGCTAAAATGATTATCTCTAAGTAAAATCCGCCAAAATTTTTCTTTTTCAATACTCAGAGTAACCTGTTCACTCAAAGTTCTAGTTCGTTTTAACAACACAATCAACATGAATCTTAATGATCTTCCTGATATTTGTTTGATGACAATATTTGATAAGTTCGATGAGCTCGAAGATCTTATATCTTCATCTGCAGGTAAGAAGAACAGTTGAATTTTGAATATTCATTGACCATTTGTAAGTTTTTGCGTTTGTTGCTCTTCATTTTTGTTTTGCTCACAAAAGTTTGTTCAAAATGGCGAAAATTGGTTCAGATTCGATATGAGAAAATCACACGCTTAACATGTAAGTTTTAAGAGCCGTCCGATTGATCAACTAATTAAAATCAATCACCAAATCTTTGTTAACATTGAAATTTTCTTCTTAATAGTAGCTAATGTGTCAGAAAGAAAGATCTTACCTCCGCCTGACAATATCTACACCAAGAGTTATCTATTCATGGAGAATATCAATGTGGCCGAAGTATTTCCGAACCTCGAGGTAATTCAAAAACTTTTTCCTAACTCGAAAATTCTAATAGCAAATTCGATATTAATTTTAATCTGATTGGAATTGAAGCTATTAGAAGCTCTATATATTCCTACTCCTCTCACATGTCCATGCAGAGTTATAGCGAATGTATTGTCCACTGGGAATCCACTGAGAGGTTTATCCGCTCAATTAATTGCAGAGATATAGAAGGTGTTGTGTTTCTTGATTGTGATGTTGACCAAGACCAGCAAATAGTTAAATATTGTGGTAATCTTACTCGACTATTGATGAATGATCCTGGATTTCTGAATCTCTTTTTCAATAAATACAAATTCGGTGAAAATTTGCAAATGTTTGCTGGTTTCGGTGGATCTTACATGAAAAATTTCAACACGTATGCTAATCGAATGCCGAATCTTAAAAAACTTAAGGCATCAAGTCTTGATGGTAATTTTCAATTTATTTTATTAAATATGAAAATGAAAAATAATAATTAATCTTTATCCTTTTTCAGCAATACCAGACTTCACTCCAACTTTTCCAGGAGTTGAGGAAATGACTTTCATATCGTTTAGCTTGTCTCTTCCTTTTCAATATTCATCACACTTTCCTGATCTACAAAAATTAGACATTTGGAGTTCATATTCATCGGAACATGACGAGTGTGGAGACGAAAAGAACTATAAAGTCCAAACAGTCTCTATCAAGTTTGCACCAGAAACAAAAAATGCTGAATTTCTGAAAAAAAATCTGACCGAAAATATCGCATTTCAATTTCCTAATTGCACCAAACTGACGATACGTTGCCCAAGTAACATTTTGGTGGAAGAAGATCCAATCAATATAATCAAGTCGATGCCGAATCTATCTCATCTTCGCTTAAGTCCAATAACTCCAATAACTCTGATGATTACATAACCAAAATAATCGAAGATTATTGCCGACTAATAAACCGAAATCTTGTATTCGAGATAGTTGAGCAAAGTGGTGATGATGAATAACATCATGTACATTGGTTCCATGGTTTATGTTGCAACTAAATTGGAATGTAGTAAATTAAATACCGGAATGATTGTTGACCTGGAAAATTAACCGATTAAAGACTCGCCAGAAAAAGAATATTCTTGCTCATGAAATTGAAACAATATTATTACTTATACTATAAGAGGTTTACCAAAGTAAAGAGTCTCAATGAATGTATTGTTACCTCCATGGGTTAAAACGAGGTCAACCTTTGGAAGAATTTTAATTTGATTCAAATATCTTCCACCGATCATATTATCATATAATTTTATCTCCTCATGAAATGGACCTTTGGATACAATGAAACGATGTTTCGATTCACCCATGAAACCAATCAATTGATTCATCAAAGTGACATTCGCACTTCCCATTGATCCTAAACTGAATAAAATGATCTTTTCATTGGTATTGAAAAAAGATTCATCGAAACCAATTGGTCCTCCTTCGGCTTCTCTCACCATATGATCAAGTCGAAACCATTTATCGGGAACTGGACCCAATTCACTATAATCCAAATCTTCTGGATAAGAGTAGAGATTAAGATATGGTGAAGGTGAAACTAATTCAGTTTCATGAGGTGTTAATCCTTTACTTTTGAGGAATAAGTCGAAATCAGCTTTAACTTCAGTTAGTTGTTGTTTAACCAGTTGTCTAAATTGTTGGAACAATTTAGGATCATCAGAAGCTCCTAATCCAGAGTATCTTGGGGGATTATTTGGAGATTCGTAAGCGAAAAGTGGATTAGCTGAATAGAGGAGAACCCATGGTTTACCTGATCGAGTTACGGATGGAACAGTTACATAAAAATCGATGATAATTAGATCAGGATTAACCTTCTCAATTGCCTTTGCTACTTGATCGTCGATCCTTTTGGCATAATCAGTAAATTCTTTGGTATCAGTAGCAAGTAGATCGATGATTTGATCTGAAGGACTTTTGGCAAACGATGGGCCAAGAGCACGAACCATTCCAGCCCATCTATCCAATGGATCGACATCACCACAAGTTGGATCGACAATTGGTTCAATCGAAAACGAATGACCAGTAATGAGAACTGACCAATTTGAAGGAACAACGAAAACCGATTCATGACCTTGATCACGAAGCATTCGAGCTAAACCAATACAAGAGTTAACATGTCCATGCCTAGTAGACAAAAACAAAATAAAACACAATCACAATTAACGAATCAAACCAGACAAACATCACAATCAACAGACAAAATGTAAACAAAAGTAACAATCATTTACTGTTTTCCAATAGAAATCATAGACTTTTCTTTTGAATAATCAAACCGAAAAGTCAATTAACGAGAACACATTAATTAATCTGTTACATTTGGATCCCAGTAAAGGTTAAAACAATTACTCAATCGTGATTAAATTAAACACTCACAATAATCACAAAGACAAATTGTTTGGAATCACAAGAAAAAGGGTTAACCAGAAAAAAGAGATTTTTGTAAACAGAAAACATACCCATCCATTGGGAAGAAAACAAGCTTCATACTGTAAGAAGATGATGAAGATTGGAGATGAGAATAGAACAAAAAAACAAATCAAATCAACAACAATTAAAAAGAAAATTATAAAAAAATAGTTTATTGTTGATTGAGAGAAAATGTAACACTCTCTCTCAATCGAGAAACTCAAAGTTCTGTTGATCAAACGAAAATAAGTAAACAGATACAAGTACAAGAAAATCTATTCGAATGAGAATCGAAAGTTTTCCATCAATGATTGAAATTCAATCAATTTGATTTAAAATCAAATGATTTTACTCAATGGTGATATTTGTAGATGATTTGCTTGACCGATCAATTGAGATTTCCAATATTGCCAAATACTCTGGACCACCATGTGAATCACCTAATCCTTGTTCATCATCTTCATCTTCATCATCATCATCAAATTCAATTTGTGTCCCACAATTTGATGTTTTCTCTGTAAATGTAATCACTTTGGCGATTACAATGATAATACATGTGATTCTACTGAAAACAAAGAAAAAATCTACCACGAATAAAATTCAAATACTAATAAACACTTACTTGTCCAACAATTAATTGAATTTATTAATTTACTTCTCGATTGAAACAATTAAGAAATCGTAAGTACATCTTTTGGACGGTAAGGAAAAGTCAGATTGACTGTGGACTATTTTGATCAGCGATTGATTAATTACAACTTATCACTTAAAGACAATCATTTGTAGTGAATGCGGTTCATTTTTTGTCACATCTTTGACCTTCGAGCTTTTTTTGTAAAAAGCGGGTGAATCGCTCGAGGCGATGTTCTAGCTGATGAAAGGTGAAATGTCTCTCTGGTTACCAGTCCAGTCAAACTAGTCCGATAAACAAACATTTCCATTCGCAACTTTAAAAGTTTTTTCCCATCATTTTAAGTTTTTTGTCAATCAACAATTTTAGTGCCTTTTAACCATCAACATGAATGTTAATGATCTATATGATATTTGTTTGATGACAATATTTGATAAGTTTGATGAGCTTGAAGATCTTATAATTATATCTCAAGGTAAGAATAACAATTTAGATCTGAACTTGTAACTTAAGGTCTTTTTGCTTCTTCTCTTTTTTCTTCCACACAAAAGTTTGTTCAAAATGGCGGAGATTGGCGCAGATTCGATGCGAGAAAATCACAGGCTTGACATGTAAGTTTCATGATCTGAACGATTTACTAACTAATTCAAATCAATCACCAAATTTCAACTGACTATAAAATCTTTTCTTAATAGTTTCACCAAGAAATAAGGTATATATATTACCTAAACCTCAGAATATCTACACGAAAAGTTATAAATTCATGGAGAATATCAATGTTGCCGAAGTATTTCCGAACCTCAAGGTAAATTAGAAACTTTTTTTCTTCTCGAAAATTCTAATAGTAAATTTGATATTAACTTTTAATCTTATTGCTATAAAAGCTATTGGAAACTCATTCTTTTGGTCCAATATGTCTATGTAGAGTTGTGGCAAATGTATTGTCCACTGGAAATCCGCTGAGGGGATTGTTTGTTGAATTCGAGCGCGTAAGCACCTATGAAATATATAAGGGTAAAGCCCAACATCATGTTGACCTGGACCAGGAAATAGTTAAACACTGTGGTAATCTTACTCGACTTTTGGTGAACGATCCTAAATTTCTTGATCTCTTTTTCAATAAATATAAATTCGGTGAAAAGTTGAAAATGTTTGGTGGATTTTGTGGATCTAAAATAGGTACTTTCATCACTTATGCTAATCGAATGCCGAATCTTAAAAAACTTTATTTACAAGATAAGGAAGGTAATTTTCACTTGTTACGATTGTTAATAAGAGAAATTAATATTCATTTATTTTATCAGTTACAGAGAACTTCCAGTTTCCAAGCTTTGGTTACAAGTTTCCAGGAGTAGAAGAATTAACTCTAGCCTCAGGTAGTAATTATCTCTTTTACTCTCGATGGTCATCGCGCTTTCCTGATTTAAGAGATTTACATATTGCTTACATCGATTATGATTCTGGAAAATTTGGTAGTTTAGCAGAATCAATTCCTAAAAGTAATTATAATGTTCGAAAAGTCTTTCTCAATTTTACCGATTATACAATCCTAGAGAGGAGTCAAGCACGTCATGTAATGAAAGAAATTACATTTCGATATCCTAATTGTACCAGTCTGACGATATTTGCCTTCACCAATTTTGTAACAATAGAGGATACAATCGAAATAATCAAGGCGATGCCAAATTTATCTTCTCTTTATTTACCTCTGATAACCACCAATAATCAAGAAAGCGACATAATCAAGATAATCGATGATTTTTGTCGAAAAGAGAATCGAAACCTGGTATTCAGAATAGTCCACCAAGGTTCTGGTGGGTACAGGCCCGCATGAACGTTGGTACTCATCTTTTTCACCTTTAACGAAACATAGGGAATTCGTGGGAGAAAACAAATCAAACCAATATTTACAATAATATCGACCTATCGGGACTAATTGATTGCCTTTACAGTTTCTCAATAGATAAGATTGTAAATTTATTCAATATCTAAATTTAATAACTTTGGTTATTATAGTGATAACTTATGTGATTCTGATGAAAACAAAGAAAGAAGCTTAAAATTTTCCAAAAATTTCTCTTTTCAGTTGAAAGTTTTTCCTAACGTGATGTTTTTGTCAATCAACAATTTTAGCGGTTGTAACCATCAACATGCATCTTAATAGTCTGCCTGATATTTGTTCAATGACCATAATTTTAATGCACGTTTGTCAATCGAAAATGTCGCATTGAGCTTCGATATGATCTTGGTTCTGGTATGGTTATTATAAGATCAAAGGAGACAATTTCTATTGGATATGTTGTCCATTTAGTAGCGAAACGTTTCATGAAAGATGGTATATTGTCCATTGATGGTCAGTCTGATGTTACGGGTCATCTCCGGGTTCCCTGAGTTCACTTGATTGAAACCTTTACCTTGGTTGGATAAAACCAATCGAACCAATATTTACAATAATATCGGCCTTAAAACAGGACTAATCAGTTGCCTTTATAGTTTCTCGATAGATAAAACTGTAAATTTACCCAATATCTTAGAGAAATCATCTTCGTCTTCATCTTCATCTAATTCAATAATACGAACTGTTAACATAATCGATTGCCTTGAAATGCCTTGTTCAGGATCAACCATCCAAAGATACACCAAGATACAACCTCACCACCCACAACAACAACAACTTATCCATCATCCTCATCCTCATCACTATTAGCTAATTTTTTCCCTGTCATAATGGTGGTACCTGTTTACCTTTAATATCACCAATCGATGGCTCATGTAAATGTAAACCTGGTTACACAGAATCATTGTCAATTGGTGAGTGGTGACAATTTTGCTCAAAAGAAAACAATCCTTGTATCAAGGATACAATTTGTGCCTCATTACCTGAGAATCAGGGTTACTCATGTTCTGTACCTCTGAAGATAATAGTCTCAACCTTTGTCTCAATGGTAAGTTGTAAAGATTAACACAACCCTTGGAATTAATTGTAATTGTTAATTGTTTATCCTGATTATCTTTCACTCTTCCCAAAGCTCAATGAAAAACTGAAAATGCATTTATACCTGATTTTAGTTCAAGTTTGATCGTCGATCCTTTGACATAACCAGTAAACTCTTTGGTATCAGTAAAATTTTTACGACTTCTAGTGAGTGCAATTGAATGTCTTGTTGCGAGGAAATGGAAATGTATTAATAGTAAATTCATTGTTGGAATGATTATTGAGTCTGAAAAATTTAAAACGATTAAGGGCCCTTCGTGGTTATTGCAAATTTTGAGGCTAAAATTTGATCATAAGGCAGCTTAGGCTTTGATCATTTATTTTGGATTTTGCTTATTACTCTTTAGATTAAATTGATTCATTTTCACTCATAAAACACTCATATTGATGATTGATGATTGATTTATTTGTCATTGAGAATATTTAATTGCCAAGGAAATAGCAAAGCAAAATGTTAACAATAAAAAACTCTGATAATCAAATAAGAATAAAATTTACCTTTCCAAGGAAAACTTAATTTCTATGATTAAGTCTCTTACGTTCAATCCAGTTAATTACCGAAAAGGATCATCAGTCATGAAGAGCGATCTATTCATTTTCTCCGAAAAGAAAATTCTAATAACCCGCTAAAATGATTATCTCTAAGTAAAATCCGCCAAAATTTTTCTTTTCAATATTCAGAGTAACCTGTTCACTCAAAGTTCTAGTTCGTTTTAACAACACAATCAACATGAATCTTAATGATCTTCCTGATATTTGTTTGATGACAATATTTGATAAGTTCGATGAGCTCGAAGATCTTATATCTTCCTCTGCAGGTAAGAAAAACAGTTGAATTTTGAATATTCATTGACCTTTTGTAAGTTTTTGCGTTTGTTGATCTTCATTTTTGTTTTACTCACAAAAGTTTGTTCAAAATGGCGGAAATTGGTTCAGATTCGCTATGAGAAAATCACTGCGTTAACATGTAAGCTTCCATTTAAACGTTTTAATCATTCACCAAATCTTTGACCATTTAATTCATAGAACTTTTTTTCTCATTAGTTGTGTCAAGAAGAAAGATATTATCTCCGCCTCACAATATCTACACCAAGAGTTATCTATTCATTGAGAATATAAATATTGCCGAAGTATTTCCGAACCTCAAGGTAAATTATAAACATTTTCTTTTCGAAAATTTTAATTAACAGTAAATTTGATATTGACTTTTAATCTGATTGGAATTGAAGCTATTGGAAGCTCTTCATATTCCTTCTACTCCTCACACATGTCCATGCAGAGTTATAGCAAATGTATTGTCAACTGGGAATCCACTGCGGTTTATCAACTCGACTTGTATGCAAAGATCCAGTAGATGGTCTTGACCTTCGTGAATGTGACGTTGACCTTGACCAACAAATAGTTAAACACTGTGGTAATCTTACTCGACTATTGGTGGATGATTCTGGATTCCTGAATCTCTTTTTCAATAAATACAAATTCGGTGAAAAGTTAGAAATGTTTGGTAGTTTTGGTGGATCTTACATAAAAACTTTCAACACTTATGCTAGTCGAATGCCGAATCTTAAAAAGCTCTTTGTAAATGATCTTAAAGGTAATTTTCACTTTTAACTTATTAGAAAAAATCTTAATCTTTATTTATTTTCTTCAGAACCAAACCCATACCAAGTGTATCCAGGAGTAGAAAAAATCACTTTCGAATCACACTGGCCAGGATCTCCTTTTGTATGGCCATCGTGCTTCCCTGATTTACGAAGTTTACACATCAGTTCTCATATAAGTTTATCGAATTATGTTAGGCCACCAATATACAAAAAGAATTACAATGTTCGAAAAGTTTCCATTGTTCTTGAACCAAATCCAAGAAATCCACGTACTATTACAAAAAATCTGATCAGAGATGTCGCATTTCAATTCCCTAATTGCCTAGAACTGACGATATTTTGTCGAAATAATGTTTTTACGAAAAATGATCCATTCAATATAATCAAGACAATGCCGAATTTATCTCTTCTTCGTTTAAGTCCAACAAATTTCAATGACCTTGGTGATGACATTACCGAAAAAATCGCAGATTATTGCCGACATGAAAATCGAAACCTTGTATTCGAAATAGTCGAGGAAAGAGATTATGAGAAAGCACATCCCCTGAATATGGGCACCAAGTTTTTTTTTGCCTTTTAAAAAGTCCCATTAAGTATCTTGTAAGTAAATGAAATGAATTTAATTCATGACCTTGATCCAGTTAAATCAATACAATCACAAGAAAAAGGGTTAACCAGAAAAAGGAGATTTTTGTAAACAGAAAACTTCCATTGGGAAGAAAAACTTCATTTTGTAAGAAGATGATGAAGATCAAAGATGAGAACAGAACAAATAAACAAATCAAATCACCAACAATTAAGAGAAAATTATAAAAAAATAGTTGATTGTTGATTAAGAGAAAATGAAAAACCTTCTCTCGAATGAGAATCGAAAGTTTTCAATCAATCAATTAGAATTAATTATGGTGATATTTGGAGATGATTTGGTCGACCATTCAATTGAGATTTTCAATATTGCCAAATACTCAGGACCACCATGTGAATCACCTAATCCTTGTTCATCATCTTCATCTTCATCATCATCATCATCAAATTCAATTTGTGTCCCACAATTTGATGTTTTCTCTGTAAATGTAATCACTTTGGCGATTACAATGATAATACATGTGATTCTACTGAAAACAAAGAAAAAATCTACCACGAATAAAATTAAAATACTAATAAACACTTACTTGTCCAACAATTAATTGAAATTATTAAATTATTAATTTACTTCAGGATTGAAACAATTAAGAAATCGTAAGTACACCTTTTGGACGGTAAGGAAAAGGCAGATTGACTGGTGACTATTTTTTCTCGATTGATTAATTAATACAACTTATAACTTAAAGACAATCATTTGTAGTAAATGAGATTCATTTTCAGTCACCTCTTTGAACTTCGAGCTTTTTTTGTAAAGAGCGGGTGAATCGCCCGGGGCGATGTTCTAGCTGATGAAAGGTGAAATGTCTCTCTGGTTACCAGTCCAGTCAAACCAGTCCGACAATAAAACATTTCCATACGCAACTTCAAACTTTTTAGTTTCTTCCCAGGGTGTCAAGTTTTTTGTCAATCAACAATTTCAGTACCATTTAACCATCAACATGAATCTTAATGATCCATATGATATTTGTTTGTTGACAATATTTGATAAGTTTGATGAGCTTGAAGATCTTATAATTATATCTCAAGGTAAGAATAACAATTTAGATCTGAATCTGCAACTTAAGGTCTTTTTGCTTCTTCTCCTTTTTCTCACACCCAAAAGTTTGTTCAAAATGGCGGAAATTAGTTCAAATTCGATATGAAAAAATCAAAGCCTTAACATGTAAGTTTTAACGATTAACTAACTAGTTCAAATCGATTAACGAACATTAATTAACCTTAAAAATTTTTCTATTAAATAGTTTTGGCAAGAACCAAGGTATTACTTCCGCCACACAATATCTACACCAAGAGTTATCTATTCATTGAGAATATAAATGTTGCCAAAGTATTTCCGAACCTCGAGGTAAATTATAAACTTTTTTTTTAAAAAATTTTAATAGCAAATTTGATATTAACTTTTAATCTGATTGGAATTGAAGCTATTGGAAGCTCTTCATATTCCTTCTACTCCTCACACATGTCCATGCAGAGTTATAGCAAATGTATTGTCAACTGGGAATCCACTGCGAGGTTTATCAACTCGACTTGAATGCAGAAGTCAAGTAGAAGGTGTTGATCGCCGTGAATGTGACGTTGACCTTGACCAACAAATAGTTAAACACTGTGGTAATCTTACTCGACTATTGGTGGATGATCCTGGATTCCTGAATCTCTTTTTCAATAAATACAAATTCGGTGAAAAGTTGCAAATGTTTGGTGGTTTTGGCGGAGCTTACATGGCAACTTTCAACACTTATGCTACTCGAATGCCGAATCTTAAAAAGCTTTATGCATCTAATCTTAAAGGTAACTGCAATTTCATTTGAGTAAATCCGTGAAATTAATCTTTATTCATTCTCATCAGCAATAACGCACTTCATTCCGACTTTCCCAGGAGTTGAGAAGATCACTTTTTCATCATTTTTTGAAGGATCTTATTTTCTATATCCATCATACTTTCCTGATCTACAAAATTTACACATTAGTGTCTCTCCAAATTTTTGTTTGACACAACGTTTAAGTTCATCTCAATATGTAAGGCCACCAGTAAGCAAAAGGAACAACAAAGTCCGCAAAGTCACTATCCAGTTTGAACCTGACACAGTAAATGTCCGCTTTCTTACGAAAATTCTGATCAAAGATGTCGCACTTCAATTCCCTAATTGCCTCGAACTGACGATATTTTGCCGAAGTAACGTTTTGACGAAAAATGATCCATTCAATATAATCAAGACAATGCCGAATTTATCTCTTCTTCGTTTAAGTCCAACAAATTTCAATGACCTTGGTGATGACATAACCGAAAAAATTGCGGATTACTGCCGACATGAAAATCGAAACCTTGTATTCGAAATAGTTGAACACTTTGACTTTAAGAAATCACATCCCTTAAATGTTGGATCTAAATTTTTTTTCGATTTTTAAAAAGTTCAATGTACCTTGTTGCAAGGAAAGGAAAATGTATTAATAGTAAATTTATTACTACAATGATTGAGCTTGCAAAAAACAATTAACATAAACATTTTAATGAATCGAATTATTTCTTTTTTGTTCGATTCTCCCAACCATGAATAACAAGCTATATGCAATCTTTATGAGTTAAAATAAGTGTTTTACCAAAGTAAAGAGTCTCAATGAATGTATTGTTACCTCCATGGGTTAAAACGAGGTCAACCTTTGGAAGAATTTTAATTTGATTCAAATATCTTCCACCGATCATATTATCATATAATTTTATCTCCTCATGAAATGGACCTTTGGATACAATGAAACGATGAATAAAAATCACTATGAAATCTTTGCTATTATGAGTTAAAATCAATTCAATTTTAGTTAATTTCTGATTTACCAGTTGCATTGTTGAAACAATTTATTACTCTTTAAATTAAATTAATTCATTTTCACTCATCAAACACTCATATTGATAATTGATTCTTGATTACCTGAGAATCAGGGTTACTCATGTTTCTGTACCTCTGATGATAACAGTCTCAACCTTTGTCTCAATGGTAAGTTTTAAAAGATTAACACAACCCTTGGAATTAATTGTAATTGTTAATTGTTTATCCTGATTATCTTTCACTCTTCCCAAAGCTCAATGAAAAACTGAAAATGCATTTATACCTGATTTTAGTTCAAGTTTGATCGTCGATCCTTTGACATAACCAGTAAACTCTTTGGTATCAGTAAAATTTTACGACTTCTAGTGAGTGCAATTGAATGTCTTGTTGCGAAATGGAAATGTATTAATAGTAAATTCATTGTTGGAATGATTATTGAGTCTGAAAAATTTAAAACGATTAAGGGCCCTTCGTGGTTATTGCAAATTTTGAGGCTAAAATTTGATCATAAGGCAGCTTAGGCTTTGATCATTTATTTTGGATTTTGCTTATTACTCTTTAGATTAAATTGATTCATTTTCACTCATAAAACACTCATATTGATTCTTGATTGATTTGTCATTGAGAATATTTAATTGCCAAGGAAATATCAAAGCAAAATGTTAACAATAAAAAACTCTGATAATCAAATAATAATAAAATTTACCTTTCCAATGCGAACATAATTTCTATGATTAAGTCTCTTACGTTCAATCCAGTTAATTATCGAAAAGGATCATCAGTCATGAAGAGCGATCTATTCATTTTCTCCGAAAAGAAAATTCTAATAACCCGCTAAAATGATTATCTCTAAGTAAAATCCGCCAAAGTTTTTCTCTCTCAATACTCAGAGTAACCTGTTCACTCAAAGTCCTAGTTCGTTTTAACAACATAATCAACATGAATCTTAATGATCTTCCTGATATTTGTTTGATGACAATATTTGATAAGTTCGATGAGCTCGAAGATCTTATATTTTCTTCTGCAGGTAAGAAAAACAGTTGAATTTTGAATATTCATTGACCTTTTGTAAGTTTTTGCGTTTGTTGATCTTCATTTTTGTTTTACTCACAAAAGTTTGTTCAAAATGGCGGAAATTGGTTCAGATTCGATATGAGAAAATCACACGCTTAACATGTAAGTTTTAAGAGCCGTCCGATTAATCAACTAATTAACTAACGAGTGTGTAACCAAAAAGAACTATAAAGTCCAAAAAGTCTCTAGTTATTTATTTTTTGTTCGATTCTCCCAACGATGAATAACATTCTTTATGAAATCTTTGCTATTTATGTGTTTAAATCGATTCAACTTCAGTTAATTGCTGATTTATAGCTTGTCTAAATTGTTGGAACAATTCAGGATCATCAGAAGCTCCTAATCCAGAGTATCTTGGGGGATTATTTGGAGATTCGTAAGCGAAAAGTGGATTAGCTGAATAGAGGAGAACCCATGGTTTACCTGATCGAGTTACGGATGGAACAGTTACATAAAAATCGATGATAATTAGATCAGGATTAACCTTCTCAATGGCCTTTGCTACTTGATCGTCGATCCTTTTGGCATAATCAGTAAATTCTTTGGTATCAGTAGCAAGTAGATCGATGATTTGATCTGAAGGACTTTTGGCAAACGATGGGCCAAGAGCATTTCTGATGAGAATCAAGTATTATTTTTGAGAAAGAATATGCAATCAATGTAATCAAGATGATACCGAATTTATCTTGGCTTCGCTTACCTCCAAACACCTCCGATAACCAAGACAAAGAAGTGATCACAACTATCGATGATTATTATCAACCAGAGAATCGAAACCTCGTTTTCAGAATAGTTCAGCGAAGTGATTGTGTCAATTTATTTTCTTATTCTAAAAGAAATTCAATAAAGTTAATTGTTTGAAGATTAAGATTGACTGTTGATTTAAATTGGAAAGACCGTTTCATTAACTGAAGCTAATTAACTGATAAATTGAGTTCGTTGTTTACGATTAATCTTTATTGTCAATTAGATACACGACAAAACTCATCATCATCATCAGTGAGTAAATTGTACATTCAACAATTAGCAATTAAATTACATTCTAAATCTTTATGTAAGTCGATCCATTGGATTTTCATGGCAAATATTTAATTCTATCGATCTTTTAATCGACAGGATCGATTCTTCCTTTCATTTTCGAAAGAAATTAACTTATTTTTTCTCTTTATTCACATGATGAACTTACCATGGAACAGCAGAATTTTGAGAAAAAACAAGCTCGATCATCTTGAATAGAAACATGGATAGTCTTGGGAAAGAAAAAAGTTGAATCGATTGTAACAAATCACGATGATCTAAAACGTTTAATAAGAAACAATTAGTAGACAATATAATTAGTTGATGGACAATTTAACTTTCATGATAATTTGACATTAACAAGGTAACCGAAAAAAAGTGAAGCCAACAATTTGTATTGATAGTAATTCATATATAAAAGTTATCGATGATATCGAAAAATTTAAACTTAATTTTGAGGGAAAAAAATTCCAATCGAATTGGTTTAATGGTCCAATCTATGGTTCTTTCGATTGATTTATTAGTTTAGTCAATCGATCACTTAATTGTTGGTGACTCTTTGTGGTTCGAATTTTTTCACCAATATTTTTAACTCGTTCGATTAATTCTTTATCATTAAGAATTTCATCAATTGCACCATTAAGTTGTTCCTTTGTTACTTGATATGGACCAAATGCTCTTCCAATATTCTTGTCAATTGCTCTTCGAGCGTTATCATGTTGATCTCCAAACAAAGGTAACACAATAAGAGGTTTACCAAAGTAAAGAGTCTCAATGAATGTATTGTTACCTCCATGGGTTAAAACGAGGTCAACCTTTGGAAGAATTTTAATTTGATTCAAATATCTTCCACCGATCATATTATCATATAATTTTATCTCCTCATGAAATGGACCTTTGGATACAATGAAACGATGTTTCGATTCACCCATGAAACCAATCAATTGATTCATCAAAGTGACATTCGCACTTCCCATTGATCCTAAACTGAATAAAATGATCTTTTCATTGGTATTGAAAAAAGATTCATCGAAACCAATTGGTCCTCCTTCGGCTTCTCTCACCATATGATCAAGTCGAAACCATTTATCGGGAACTGGACCCAATTCACTATAATCCAAATCTTCTGGATAAGAGTAGAGATTAAGATATGGTGAAGGTGAAACTAATTCAGTTTCATGAGGTGTTAATCCTTTACTTTCAAGGAATAAGTCAAAATCAGCTTTAACTTCAGTTAGTTGTTGTTTAACCAGTTGTCTAAATTGTTGGAACAATTTAGGATCATCAGAAGCTCCTAATCCAGAGTATCTTGGGGGATTATTTGGAGATTCGTAAGCGAAAAGTGGATTAGCTGAATAGAGGAGAACCCATGGTTTACCTGATCGAGTTACGGATGGAACAGTTACATAAAAATCGATGATAATTAGATCAGGATTAACCTTCTCAATGGCCTTTGCTACTTGATCGTCGATCCTTTTGGCATAATCAGTAAATTCTTTGGTATCAGTAGCAAGTAGATCGATGATTTGATCTGAAGGACTTTTGGCAAACGATGGGCCAAGAGCACGAACCATTCCAGCCCATCTATCCAATGGATCTACATCACCACAAGTTGGATCGACAATTGGTTCAATCCCAAACGAATGACCAGTAATGAGAACCGACCAATTTGAAGGAACAACAAAAACCGATTCATGGCCTTGATCACGAAGCATTCGAGCTAAACCAATACAAGAGTTAACGTGTCCATGACTAGTAGACAAAAACAAAATAAAACACAATCACAATTAACAAATCAAAACAAACAAACATCACAATCAACAGACAAAATGTAAACAAAAGTAACAATCATTTACTGTTTTCCAATAGAAATCATAGACTTTTCTTTTGAATAATCAAACCGAAAAGTCAATTAACGAGAACACATTAATTAATCTGTTACATTTGGATTCCAGTAAATTTTAAAACATTCTAGTAAAGGTTAAAATAATTACTCAATCGTGATTAAATTAAACAATCACAATAATCACAAAGACAAATTGTTTGGAATCACAAGAAAAAGGATTAACCAGAAAAAAGAGATTTTTGTAAACAGAAAACATACCCATCCATTGGGAAGAAAAGAAGCTTCATTTTGTAAGAAGAAGATGATGAAGATTAAAGATGAGAATAGAATAAAAAAACGAATCAAATCAACGACAATTAAGAGAAAATTAGAAAAATATCATTCGGTGGAGAAAACGAAACACTTTCTCTCAATCGAGAAACTCAACGTTCTGTTGATGAAACGAAAATAAGTAAACAGATAAGAACAAGAAAATCTATTCGAATGAGAATCGAAAGTTTTCCATCAATCAATTAGAATTACTATCGATCTTCTTTCTATTCTCTTTAATTTTCCTCTTTCTTTCTTCAAATTCCAACTCGAATCTCTTACCCTGAGTTCGATTAATCTTTCGATGGAAAGAAGTTTTTTCGATCTTTTCAAGTTTATGACAAAAGAGATAAAAGAATATTTCAATTCGATATTATCATATTATAATATTTTCCAAGAATCAATCAACGAAACTTTAATTGTGTGTCACTTGAAGATGATTCTATCAATTCTAATTGTTATCTAATTTATCTCTCTTGATAATAACATTGAGAGTTAATTAAATCACTTGACACACTCGATAATTTATCTTACACTTAGTAATTTGTTACCCAATCATCAATCAAATTGTATTTTCACATCAAAACCAATTAAATTGATTCACTTTTAATCTTAAACACTCATATTGATAATTGATTCTTGATTGATTTGTCATTGAGAATATTTAATTGTCAAGGAAATAGCAAAGCAAAATGTTAACAATCAAGAACATTGATAATCAAATATTAATAATAATAAAATTTACTTTCCCAAGGTAAACATAATTGTAATTAAATTGTAATTTTGATTACAATTAAAAAGTAACAACAAAGTAACAAGACAAAAAAACTATCAACAATTAATATTGAACAATAAAGGAAATGAATTTAAATTACTTTGAATAATGAACGTTATTGATTTACGACCGAGAAACAATTGTAATGTTTAAATTGTCAATCATTAAACACAAAATCAATCAATTCCTTCATCTCATCAATGATATAATAATAAATATCATGGTCAATATTATATATCATATGAATATCTTTATATTCAGGTTTCAGCTCAGAATTCATGATGATAATAACATTACCCTGAATACCATGGTAACCATGAACCATTTCAATTGTAAACAAAAGGATTTTCAAGTTGATTTAATTGTCACCGCCAACAATTAATTACATAATAGTTAAATCATCTTCTTCCTTGATATTCAATCAATTTTATTTTTATTCAAATCAATTCTTAATCCATCATAATCATGTTAATCTTTTCCTCAATCGATTAAGATAATCTTCAAAGTTAATCCAAATGAATTCTTACCTTCTAATCTCATACTTACCTGTGATTATTTGTTTACTTGTATTATCAAGGTTATCGTCAGGTAAACTTATCGAAGGTGAATTAATCTCTGATGAGGTAAGAATTAATTTCCCTTTGTAATTGTATTAATATAAATCTTCTTGATTGTTAATTATTATCCTTTAATCATCAATTAGAATTGGGCTTTTTAACAAGATTCTGTTTCCTATCCGAGTCTGGAAAATTTAATTATGAGATAACTTATCCATACGTAAGTCTATTTGATTATGATTAACCATCAAATACGTTGATTGTAGTGTTAACAATTAACTTTAATTGTCTGATTTTAGGAGTATCGAGTACAAAATTTGCTTCTTTATTTTGATTCTCGTCGTCAATGGCCAACAGTTTACAAATCACCATTGGTAAGTTATCTTAATTACTAATTACTAGTTAATTTGATTGATTTGATTGTTCAATTGTTAAAGACCTGTGAGGAAAAGGAAAGTGTCCTGTCAATTGAAAATGGTCAAGTGATTAACTTGACCTCAGAATATTCATATTCAAATTGCCAATTATTGGAAAACTTTGATGAGTTTACCAATACGACCTTAAGATATTACAAATGCTCACATTATCGAGTCTTCAAATCTCAACGAGAACGCTGGTGGTTCATAGCAATTAGCAATTGCCAATCAACAAAGGTAATTATCATCATAATTATCACAATCAGAAAACAATTCCAATCAACTGATTCAATTAATTATCCTTCTTAATCCATCAGGGTCTTAAAATGAGCTATCGTATAACCATGACAAATGATGAACAGAATCCACTATTGAAACACTTTTCAGCTGATCAATTCTGTAAGAAATACGATTCACCCTGTAGATAGATTCACCTAGATATTCATCAACCATTTAATAGATGATAAAAAACTTTTTTCCTTCCATCTAATTAACCTTAATTGTCCTTTTTTCTCAGATATTTTACATACGGATGTAATATTTACCATTCTCTATCTACTTCTTCTAGTAGCCTCAATATTTGAAGCATGTAAGTGATTAATTGTAGTATTACAATCAAGAACATATATTAATATATACAAAGAAATAAGTTCTAATCATCTGAATCATCTAATCGCTTACAGACGCTTTGTACACTCGACATTTACTTCATATTACATACAAATATTATCTCGCATCGTTAGCACTTCAATTGTCATCATTGATTTTCCTGACAACTTATTATGTCCTATTAGCTGATCGAGGCTATTCACATGAGATTTTAAAGTTAATTGGTAATAATTTAACTTGTCAATCATCCAATTCATCTGATAATTAATTCCACTTTTCTGTTACAAAGGTAAACTATTGGAATCAGCGTCCACGTCGTTATTTTTGTTACTTCTAATACTTTTAGCCAAAGGGTACACTGTAACTCGAGCTCGATTAAAGACCCAAACATCAACGAAAATTGGCCTATTTATGTCTCTTCATACGACAACTTATATTGCGATATTTTTATATGAACAAATGGTAAGGTAACAATTAATTTGATCGAGAAGACAATTTATAAATCAATCAACTGTTTTTTTCTGTCAACAAAAAAAACATACAACATACAATTATTATTAGAACCATTAATTGTTTCATTGGAAAAGAAAGTGAAAAAAAAGTTAATCAATCAAATTGTCGGATTATAAATTGTCAACTATGGAAATGATTAGTTGACATTAAATGATTAGATTGATTTTAAATTGTTCCTTTTTTTTTCATTCAAATTGATTGATTACAATTAGTGTCATTGAAAATAATATTGATACAAAGTTTCAAAGGTTAAACTATTCCAATACCCAATCAATAATTGATAGACTAGAAATTTATGAATTGATCGCAATTAACTAATTGTTTTTTTTTAGTTTTTCGATCCAGGGGAAGTCCTTTATATGTACGAAAGTTGGCCTGGTTATTGTGTTATATTCCTACGGATATTGGGCTGGTTCTGGTTTGTTTATTCACTTGTATTTACCTTGATGCATTATCCATCAAAATCGTCGTTTTTAACAAAACTTTTCCTCCTTTACAGTGTTTGGTAAGTTAATTGTTTGCAAATAACAATCAAATTGTCTTTAATTGTTTACTTTTATTACTATTATTGAAAAGGTTCATTTCGGCTCCTGTGGTCATTTTAATATCTACTTTTGTTGTCCCCAAATGGATGAGGGAAAAAATAATCAATGCGGTTGAACTTTTCATCTCAATTCATGCACATTTGGTATTTTTTGTAAGTCTAACAACTGAATTAACTTTAATTTAGATGAAATTTGGCTTGATTGTTTGTTTATTGTTTTTCGATTAGATATTAACTCGTCCATCGAAAGCAAATAGGAATTTTCCATTCCATGTTCGTACAACTCAGGTAAGAAGAAGCAGAGGTTCAAAGAAAGTTTCGATTTTCTTTTATTATCATTAGAAAATTATCGAAATTTTCTTCTTATATCGAACTTTTCTTTTAGATTGATGTTATGACGAAAAATGGTGGTGCTGGTGATGAAACATTAGATCAATTTACTCATTACTCTTATGCTCCATCTCGATCTAATTTCACATTAAAAGATACTAATAATCGACCAGTTTTCTCAGTAACTTCATCCAATCAAACCAATGGTGAAAATAATACAAATAATCTTCATGGAAACATTAACGGTACTTTTCCTGGAGCAACAAATGTCCTTCTTTTCTCAACCACTGGTTAGATTATCCATAAAACTCAAATAATTCTAATTGTTATAATCACTAATCATGATTTTCTTTTTTCAACCAAAAAACAAACAGGAACTTTATCAGGTATTTACACCAATGATCTAAGTCTCATCGAAAGGCAACATAACGGTCATGCTAACGGTTTACCAGCAGTCGATGCTGGAGGAAACATTTAACAACAACATCCAAGAAGAAAACTTAAAACTGTAAACTGACAAAGAAAAAAAAACCAAATAAAAATAATCTTTTAAAAATATATTAATAATATTCAATCTATTTCTCTTTCAAAATTCAAAATCTCTTCAAAACTTTTCGAATAGTTAAATTTTCCCGCTTCCAATATTTTCAATCTTCTCAAAATCCAAGAGGAAAAAAAGTCTCCCCAACCCAAATCCAAACCAAATTCAACATGTTTCCTTTCCTAAAACTCCTTCGATCATCCCAACAATCAACCAACAATCAAATTCTCAACCCTCAAGATAATAAAAATTTAAATTCATCATTAAGATGAATCTCCCCTCGCAATTAGAACGCGACCCCCGAAACGAGCGCCATCTCCCGAAATCCTTTCAAACTCAATTCCTTAATTCCAATGCTCATTTAAACATAACACTAATTATCATTAATCTATATTTTGTTATTATTTATCTTTGTTTATTTTTCATCTTATTTGGTTTCTTTTGTTTATAATTGACCATTTGAATAAAAGTTGATTATTTGGCCAGTCATTGGCTTTTTTTAGTGATACCTTAACCATCCAAACACCAGCACATTTATCATTATTATTATTATCATCACCATTCATCTCATCTCAGAACCACAACAACAATAATAACAAAAATACCGTCAATATAAAAAGATAATAATAATTAATAATAGAAACAAATTTCTCTTTTTCTTTTTTATTGTTTTCATCAATTATAATGTTAAGAGGAGAACAATGTCAAGAACCTTCAACTGGGAACCTTGATCTTGGTAGGAAACTTTTGGATGCTTGTAAAAATGGTGAAACTGATGAAGTTAGAGATTTAATGCAAAATGGAGCCCCTTTTACAACCGATTGGCTTGGTATGTGTGTTTTGGTTTACCATTAATCTAAATCGACCATCACAATTAGTTCTATATTGTTCTAACATGAAGTAATTGTGTGAAAAAAAACGAATAATTGTTCGATTCTATCTTAGTGTATACATCGGTGGAGAAACATTCAAATGCTGATCCTCTGAGTTTTTGTTTTTGTTTTTTTTCTTGTTAATATGTTGGAAACCATAAACAGGCTTTTCCTACTCAATAGAAAATATGTTGATTTGATCTTTTTGTTTCTTCTCTCTTCTTGTAATTTTTTCTAATTTTCTTTTTCTCTCTCCTATTTTCCAGGTACTTCACCTTTACATTTTGCCGCACAATATGGGCACAAAGATACAGCCGAGTTTCTGCTTAGATCAGGTGTAAGTCGAGATACCAGGACAAAAGTGGAAAGAACACCTCTTCATGTTTCTTCCCAGGAAGGACATTTAGAAATAGTTGCCCTTCTATTGATGCACGGAGCTGATATCGATGCTCGTGATCTTCTTAAAATGACACCTTTACATTGGGCAGTAGAAAGGGGACATTATGATGTTGTTGAATGTCTGCTTTCAAATGGAGCTGATTTAAATCTTTTGAGTAAATTTGACAAGACACCAATCGATATAGCTCGAGATTCAGGGAGAACAGATATGATACCTCTTTTAGAAGTACGAATTTTTATCCTCTCACTTACTTAACCCGAGAAGAACATATGATTTTAACTCTTTCCCTCTTTCTTTCTTTCTTTTCTTCATCATCTTAGAGATGTATTAATGTTACACGGCCTCGACAAGACAATAGGTCAACAAGCAACACAAATAATAGTTGTTTCGCGAAAACAAGACCAACAGTGTTACCTAATAAATCAAATAGGACAGCGAAAATTGTGAAACCCATAGGAAGTGTTAATTCAAATTCAACAGCCAAGGGAAACTCTTCATCTTCATCTTCATCTACATCATCTTCATCCACTATAACCGCCAATATCTCTAAAACAAGTGTTGATGCCTTAAAGAAATTATTAAACGGGACTGGCATTAATTTGGAAGATGGATCAAACAACGTTTTGACAACCCTGGCTGCCTTAGCCGATGCTACTGGACAAACAACAGGCAATGTAATCAATAACAATTCCCAGATAGCTGCTGATGCATTACAATGGTTAGATACTCATGGAGCGACAAGTGCTTTAGAGGAATCAATGTTTACCTCAGCAATTGAAAGTGGAGGAACCGTTTCACTAACTGAAGCTGGTAAATTGGCTTTAAATTGTGTTAAAGATTCATCTCTATCACCAACAACATCCCAACAACAACAACAAACCTCATCATCATCATCATCATCAGTGACAACATTAAACAATTCAACGAAATTAGATCCCGATCTAGAAGGAAAAGTGATACAAATTGTTGGTGAATTAGAAAATAATCAAGTAACCTCACCGATTGTTTTATTAAGCTCAAATTCTGATGGGACGTTAACAACCACAACCACCGATCAAACTGAACCAATTCGTATTAAAAAGATAATTAAAACAGTGGCCGGTAAACCAATTAGTGTGACAAATTTAAAAACAACAACCAATTTAAACAGTTCCAAGTTGAATTTAATTGAATCAAATGGCTGTAAAGTGATCAGCAACGCTGTAGCATCAATAACATCTCCATCGACAACAACAACCATCACAATTAACCATAATAACAACAATACAACATCAAGCCCAAATGTTAACAATAATATTATTAATTTAAATAACAACAACAACAATAATAATAGTAATAGTGATAAAGAGAAAGAAAGATTAAGGAAAGAATTGGAAAGGACTAAACGGGAAGCCGAGGAATATAAAGCACAATTAAGGGAGAAAGAAAAAGAAGCTGAACTTTATAAGAGACAATTAGAGGTGTATAAATCTAAATTTAAAGACTAATAACACACCTACACATCTACAGAATCACATATTATACACCACATAAGACACAAATACACACCCGAAAAGAAAACCCTAAAGAGACAAAATCACAAATGGACGATTGGAAAGCAAATATATTATCAAATCAACAGCAAATTAACATTCGTCTACAAATTGTATCCCTATTTTCAGTTTAATGTTCAATTCTACTGATTTTGTACTCTTTATATTACAAATGAGTTTCATCTTCGCCACCGTCACACTACCATCACAACTTTTTTTCCCCCATACATCTTTTTATGATGATGATGCTAAGATGATGAATATTCTGTCGATATGCCTCTTCTCTCTTCTCTCTCTTCATTTGTTATTATTCATTCTCTCAGAATCAAATCGTGGAAAACAATCCAAGAAACAATTACCAACAATTCTAATACGCAACTGAGCGTCCAAACCCTCAATCTACGTTGATTGTAGACATTTATATAATATAAATATACATAAATATATATAACACAAACACACACACACACATCACACCAACACCGTAAAAACCCATCACCATCATCAAACTCATGAACATAATTGGCCCTTCTCCTCTCTCTCTCTCTCTCTCTCTCTCTCTCTTAGTTAATCTCTTTCCTTTTTCATTAATTTTTTGGATAAAAAGTATATACACTAAATCCGTAAATTTCAACTCACATACACAAGCGAAAAGAAATTCTATTGATTTTTCTTCATTTTCTTACCTTTTTCATTTCTTTTCTCACCTTTGCCGCACCCTCCCGACATCTTCATTGTCTTCATCCTCCTGTGTTTTTTTCCTTTGCCCATCCAATCAAAACAATTATGTGAGGCAAAATCTCTCTCTCTCTCTCTCTCTCACTCTTTCTCTCTAAATATTAACAATTTAAATTCACCATGAAAACTTGTTACCGCGCGAAGGATTATTTTTCACATAGATGATTAAAATGTCCTGAGAAACAATTAAAAATTGTTAAACAAAATTATCTCATTGTTTCCAATCCCTTTGATACATGATAATTGTGTGTTGGTTTATATATCCAGAGAATTGATCATTCTATTGAACTTCTTGGTTTCACCCTGTTGATGATGACAATGAAACAGCATAATTGTGATTAGATGTAATAATAATTTTCCAATTGATTATATCACATAGCAGATTAACAATGATTTCATGTAAATGGCTTCATAATTTTACTAACGGTTCATTTTGGATGTTGGTGAAAATGAGAGAGCGGATATGAGATTCTCTCTCTCATCATCATCATCATCATCATCCTCAAACCTCCCGTTGATCCATCTCTTAGTGAAACATTGTTAACAGTAATGATTACAATTCTGTGTATAATATTAACATGTATTAGTAGAACTTAATAGAAGTTAATTTTCTTTACCATTTCTCAATTTCTTGCCTTTTTCCGGTTGTTAATTTATCTCTTTCTCTTGTTGTAAGCTTTTAAACACTTGAGAGTAACCTTGTCCATTAAACAGCTCTCGATATCCGGTTGTAATAACTGATCACATGTCAATTACATGGTAATTCATCATTAGTTATTCAAATGATTAAATGATCATGTTTGTTTAATGGTTTCCATTATTTATAAACCAAGATGAAATCACCGAGCAAAAGAGTTCGAGTTGAAGAATCCAAGGAGAAAATTTGAGAAAAAAACTGTACAATTTATTTACGGACTTTCATTAGAAAAATATAATTTACTTAAAACAATCAGATTTAATTGTTAATTGCCACGAAAATAAACACAATCAATGTTGATTTTTTATCGTTGACAAAGTAGTTCCAATGGTAACCGATAGATGGAACTAGTTGCTCATTTTTTTTTCTTTTTTCTTAATTACGATTTTTTTTCATTCCAACAAGTTGATTAAAGGATAATCTTTGTTTGTTACTTTAATCAGTTCGTTGTTAATTTAAATTGAATTGATTGTAATAAATGTTCACTCGGACAGTCTGGAAGTCAATCGATCTGTGGTTAATAATATTCTTGTTCAAAGGATTACCTTTAGGCCTGAGTTACATTGGTAGAGGTTAACAAAATGGTTCCTTAGCTTTTTCTCAAACAATTAATTGTCTTGATTTGATTTAATGTTGTCAGGTAAGAAAATGTAAATTTTAATTGTTGTAAACTTTCTAATATTCAGTATCTTTCATTCATTTTCAAGGGTTAAAAGGATTTCCAATGTAAAAGTGGAATCTGTATTTGATTTGGTTACATATCATGTCCTCCGGTCATTGGTTAACTTATTGTCTTCTACTTTAGGCCTGACATAATGAGATTGATTTTTTATCCTAATGATTGATTGGTCTAATTGTGGGCCATTCTATTGCTTCTAGAAGGTTCTCCCAGCCAAATGAAAAGGTTTAACATCAATCTGGTGACTTTTCTTATTGGGACATCTGAGAAAAAAGCTAACCTGATACCATTTGATTCTGTATTCATTTTTTATTGAACACTTTTGATTGGGAAAATGAAAAGATTAGGATTTTAATAACAATTCTAACAAAAGAAGGTAAGTAGATGAAGAAAAGAAGAGGGTAAAAGAGAAATTAAATAACGTAAGATGATTGAAAATTTGACTCTTTGAGTGAATTATTTGCAATAGAAAAAAGTGTTTTCATTTTTATTCCCTTTTCTGTACATAACTGATTGAATAGAATTTGTTGATTTGTTCATCATTTATGCAATCATATTCTTATTATTTATTCTCAATGAAACCTGAGATATTGATGTTGTTGCTTATTTTCTCACCTTCTCTCTTTTTTTCTCTTCCATCTTCTCCTATCAGTATGTTGACGCTTGGTGATGAAGAAGAAGATGATGATGATGGTTCATTGAAGTTCTCATTTTTCTTTTCATCACTCCTACAATCACTTTTTCTTGATTCCATTCAAAGGGTATTACTCACATGAGAAATCCTATTTTCTAACTTTTCTTTTCTTCTCATCTTCTCATCTTCTCTCATGATTATGTTTTAGGTAGACACTCACATAAACACCAACATGAAAGGAGAGACAAACAAAGGGAGACAAAAAAGTCAAAAGAGAATTAAAGAAACCACTTAGCTACTGATTTAACTCACTTGAATAGCTTTCAATGGACTTTGGGTATGCAGCTCAATCTGGTTAATATTATCCGAGTATCACAATCATTTGACAAATTTCATAAAGACTCTGTCACCACCTTTACAAACCAACATCATCAACAAGGAGAAACAACAACAACAACAACATCAATATCACTTTCTCTCTCTCCATTTCCTCATCCATTGAATTACCAACTTGAAGCCAACACTTGACTTTTATCGTTACCATAAAAGTTAATCATTAAACGTTAATCAATGGACGAAAAGCAAAAGCATCACCTCAATCAATATGATGAACAATTCAAACAGAAGCAAAAGCAAAAGAAAAAAGAAAACAAAGTTCAACATCAATTACATCCATTGCCACTAAATGGATGTTTCTTTTTCAATCATCATCATCATCATCATCAACAACAATATCTTTCGGGTGGCCTTCCAACTGAATACAAAGAGTGTACTAAAAATAAAGAAGAAGAAGAAGAGTAAAGTGAATTCCTATGGAGAAAACAACTACCAAACAAAGTGAAGGAAAAAAAAGAATCTGAAAAAGAGGAGTAATATGATGGATTATCTTTTTCAAGATTCCTTTTTGACTCTTGTGTTCAGATACATAAAAATCTATCAGATCTGTTTTCCTTGTAGTAATTGTTGTTTTCTGTCTTTTGCCTTTTGTTGTGAAAATTATTGAATTCTATTGGTACTCATCTTCAGCATCTCTCTTCTCTTGTTCTTGTAATGTCATTCAATCGTCCAATCTCATTCCCTGTGCTTCCCTTTTGTATCAAGAATCAAGAATAGAAAAAAAATTTTTTCCATTCTTATTATCATCATTTTCACATTCTATAGATTTTATCCCTCTTCTCTCACTCACTCCTTCATTTATCTCTCACCCATTGACCCATTCTCTTTACTTATCATCTATCGTTCTTCATCCCTTATCATCATCGAAATGTTTGTTAGTCTTTATCCTTTTATTTCTTTGTTATTTTGTCCCCATTTTCAACCTTAATTGAAGACAAAATAATGATCAACAACAACAACAATCACAACAAGAGAGGCAAAAGCTCATTTTCTCCCATTGAAACAACATTGATGATATTGGAGAAAATAGTTACATCAGATCGCAAATTTGTACTCAATCAATTCACTCAATTTGTGAGTGTTAATTGTGTAAATCTCAATGTTTATCCATTTGATTGTTAACCAGAGATCCCAAATTAGGGGTTAAATTATCACTCTCTTTAATCATCATTTGTTGAGTGAATTAATTCAAAATGAAAGGTTAAGTTATTAGATCAAACCTCAAAGAGAAACCAAATAATAGCCAACAAACAAAAAATAATATCTATTATATTTTTCCATAGAGAGTAAACTTGGTGATAATCAAATGATAAACCAATGAGTGGTTAATGTTTCAATGTTTCTCCATCATCATCATCACCATAATCCATATAATAACTGTTTAAATTGTTTTTCAACTTGAATACATTTTGACTACAATTTAACAACAGCAACAATTTGCTTTCATAATACATCACAACAACAACAACAAAACCAACAACATGTACATATAACATTCCCTTAATTTATGAGCTAAATTTAACAATATTCAATTGAATTCTATTCTTTTGAATAGAAAAGAGAAGATAAAAAGATGATGAGGATGAGGATGATGAGAGAGAGAGAGAGAGAGAGATGACTTACCCTTAACACTAACACATAGTCACTCCCAGTCCATTCAATTTGCTTTTTAGGCCCAAACATTTTTCAGCGATTTTTTTAAGAGAATCAATTTAACAATACAATACAACACTCATAAGATCATTAAACTATCAACAACAACACTATCATCATCATCATCATCACCACCACCAAGCGCACATCAAAAGTAACAAAGGAAAAAGGAAAAGTATATTTCATCTCATCTTTTTTTCATCATCATGATTATGATGAAAAAAAAGTTCCAAACAATATTAACATTGAATAATAGGATTTTTGTTGATACAAATATTTTCACACTAACTTACTATTCATTCAAATTGAACTCGATATTTATCCCTATGAATATCCACATGATTAACTTTTATCCTGCTCCTTAAACTTTAATCATTAATGAAAAAGCAAATATCAGATTCTTTCAATTCTTTAATCAACTTTTTCTTTTCATAAACTAACAATTTAACAATTACAATTCACTAAATCATTGAAACTTTTTCACTCTTCTTCATCTTGGGAAGCAAAAAAAGAAAAGTTATCCTCAATATTTACTATTTCTCATTGATAAGAATTCATTTATTATTATTTTTTCTTCCATAGGTAACAAGAGAAATGGTTACACAATCTAGTGAATTACCTGGAAAATTGATTGGATTAACGTTTGGGTTGATGATTAATGTTAAATCAACTATATTTGTATTCAGAAAACTTGATAAACTCTCATTTTTTTCCTGGTGACTTGTTGAAATCAGATTAAGATGAAGAGAATGGAAAATGATTCCGATAAAATATGATTACAATTGAGACGGAAGGTGATGAGGAAAAGGAAAAAAGAAAAGCGATTCAAAGTTAAATTGTAAATCCAGATTAATGCCCTCAGGTAATTGATTCTCGTGGTAATTGTGGTGAAAAAAAAGGTAAATTTGATGGAGAAGAAAAAATTGAATTATATTATTCAAATGGTATCTAAATTATTAGATAAACACTCACCGAGGATTAAAAGTTTACATGGTATTATTTACGTGATTTAACAAGCTGTGATTACATCTCATGTCTCCTGGTTTCTTTAAGATTAAACTAAATCAACTTTAATCCAGTTGATAATAATTGTATTAATATTATTATACATTGTTCAAGTTTTCAACAATCAACTATTCAACAATTGAAATGATATCATGATGATGTCCTTGACAATCAAGTATCTTTCATGATGATGATGATGATGATATGAATCAATGAAAGTAATCAATTTACATATTGATGATGATGATGATCAACAACATCAACAGTTAACAAAACCAATACGTGTTAACGGTTTTTGCATTTTAATAATCTGATGATGAGGATGATAACAATCAACCAATGATAATGAAAAGGCAATACAACAACAATTTAATTAAAATGTTGACAATATGATTATATAATCATAATGATAATCGTAATGAAATGAAATTAAATTAAATTGTTGAGGCTTTTTCATCATCATCATGAAAAAGTTATTAATGTAAACATTGTGGGTAGAAAAATTTTTCCCAAGGATTAACATATTAATCATTTTATTATATAATCATGATTATGATGATTATGATTAGGATTATATAAAACCATTGATTGTCAAGTAAACAAAGTGATCAACAATCAAAAGCAAAATTAAACACTTGATATGCATTTAAATGGATTTTTATTATTATAATATTTAAATAATAATAATATAATATTATAAATCTCATGATAATATATTAAATTGTTTGATCTTTTCTCAGTTTTGTTAAAACTGTTTCAATCTCATTACATAATCATAATCATATTAGGATTTATTTTGATTGTGATTAAGATTATAAATCATTTATCCACTGACATTGGCTACTTTGTAGTTTCCTCCCACCATCAACATCATTTTTAATCCAGTTCCCACTTTTTGATTGTTATTGTTGATGTTTTATTGTTATCATTCAATTTATTATTTCAATTTACTCGAGGATTTAACAAAATAAACTAGACTTTTTTTTTACTATTTATGATTAAGTCCACCTTAAGTCCCGGATTAGTGAGAGTTAGTTAATCCTTATCCTGCTTTTGATAGATTAAAGTTTATGAAAGTTCACAATCAATACTTTTGTTATCATTTAATCAACTTGGACTCGATATTGTGACTTTATTACTTTACTTTCACAACTTAATTGTTGTGAAAGTGACAATTGAATCAAGGATTAATCATTGACAACTAGTAGTTGATTTAGTTTAAAATGATTAATCGTAATAATTGATTAATTGTTTGAACGATTTATAAGTTTA